TGGCGGAGGTGGTGGAGTGCAGGAGCCCTCAGGCGACATCGTTTCTGCCGCAGCCGCTGGCGAAGATGCAGTAGCGACGGCGGTGACAGCAGCCGGCTTCTGGTCGCATGCCGCGTTGCTTGTGGCGGCTGCTGCTGCTGCTGCCGCTGCTGAGGCGGGGCCGGGCAGGACACCGTCCTCGCTGACTGCCTGCCCCTCCGATGCCGACGACGATACCTCCATGTCAGACTGCGATGCCTGCGACGCTACCTCCCCCGACTCACGTGAGTCTAGACTGCCGCTGGGCCTTGCTTCCGTTGTTGTTGCCGGCGCCGCCGCCACCGCCCGAGGGGCGGCTGTCGTACTCCCGGCGCCGCCGCCGCCCGTGCTTTGAACTGCTGGCGCCGCAGGTGCGCGCGCTTCCTTCGACGCATCCTTTCCAGCCGCAGCAGCGGTCCCGTTGCCAGCAGCCATGGGGACAGCAGCACGCGTGGAAGCAGGCTCCTGCTGCCTCACCCGTTGCAATGTCGACTCAGGTTGAGGTCCTCTGACGTGCCGCAAGTCATCTCCTGAACCCCCACCGCCGCCGCCGCCGCCGCCACTGCTGCCTGCCCTGCCAAGCCGCCGATCCTCATCGCGTCTGTCGTGACGGCTAACCTCCGCACTGCCGCGGCGAACCAGGCTGCGTGAGTCAGCACTGCCCAATCGACTCCGCTCCAGCTCCCGTTCATCCCTACTGCGCCGCTGATGTTGATCCAGGGCGCGCTCCCGCTCTCTATCCCTTTCCCTGTCACGGTCGCGTTCCCGATCCCGGAGCCGCTCCCGCTCCCTCTCACGCTCCCATTCCCAGCTCCGCCCAAGGCCCCGGCTCCGCTCGCGGTCCCGGTCCCGGCTCCGCTCTCTCTCCCGGCCCCCGTCGCGGTCCCGTTCCCGTTCACGGTCCCTGTCCCGATCCCGTTCACGACCCCGGTCCCGTTCTCGGTCTCTGTCCCGATCCCGCTCCCGTTCACGGTCTCTGTCCCGCTCTCGTTGCCGTTCCCGTTCCCGGTCGCGGTCTCTGTCCCTTTCTTCCCTGCTCGTACCGCGTCCACGAGCCTCCCGCTCCCTCTCACGCTCCTGCGCTGCCGCGGTGGCAGCCGGCAAGCTACCCGCCCTGCCGGCTGCCCGCTCCGCCGCCCCACCGCGCTCAGCTGCAGCTCTGCTAGGGCTCGGTGACTTGCGGGGCGGGGGCTGCGGCTGCTGACTGGCCGGTGCTGCTGCTACTGCTGCAGGTCCTGTTGAAGGCGCTGGCGCGGTCTGCAGGGTCTGCAGCGGCGCCGGTGTCGGGGTGATGACCTCCCCACGGGTCAGGGCGGTAGCAGGAGCTGCATGGGAAAGATGGGATGCTGCCTCTCCGTTTGGCGGCGCGGGCCGCTGCTGCTGCGGCTGCTCTGGCGGCGGTTGCTGTACTGGTGCTGCCGTCGTCGCCGTCGCCGCCGTCATCGCCGCAGACGGTGCACCGACGCCAGCGGCGGCACCGGCGTTGCGGGGGGCTGCTGGAATAGCAGTGGCAGCGGAGTTGGCGGCTGTGGGTTGCTGCTGCTGAGGAGGAGCCGCCGCGGCTGGTGGCGCCGCAGGGGCAGCCGGGGCGGCAGCCTGCATGGAAGGCTTATCCACCTGCGAATTGTTGTTGTTGGTGGTGGTCGTTGTCGTCGTCGTCGCAGCAGCTGCTGCTGCCGGTTGCTGGACGTCAGCCTGCACCACCACCCCTTGCAAAGGCGCCGCGGGCGGCTGTGGTTGCGGCAGCGGCAGCGCAGCGACGGCGTCCGCGGGAGGTCCCCACTTGCGCCTACCAGATGCGGGTGACCGGGGCAGCGGCTGCGGCTGCGAGGGCGCGGCTGGTGGTGGGTCTAGCGAAGCAGCGGGGGGTACAGGGGCAACAGGCGGTGCAGCTGCTGCCGCCGCTGATAGAGGCAGTGCTGCTGCTGCTGGTGGTGCTGTTGATGCCGCCGCTGCAGCAGGCGCCAGGGCTGCTGATGTGCTTGAGGATGGCCGTGCAGCCGTGCCCTCAGCTGCGCACATGACGGCTGCTGCTGCTGCTGCTGCGGTTGCTGCCCCGGTACTTGACGACAGCTCGGCCGCGCCGTGCCCTGCCACTACATGTGCCGGCCGCGCCGATGACGCGGGATCGCCCACAACACGCCCAGCCTCAGCAGCAGCATCAGCAGCAACAGCAGAAGCAGCTTGTCCCTGTGGTTCCGCTGCCGCTGCTGCCGCCACCAACCCCTGGGTGGTGCTCAAATCAGCGTGTCCAGGGGCAGCGGAGTTGCGGGCCGCATCACCGCCGCCGCCACCACCAGCACCTCCAGCGCCATCCCCGCGCACGTCCCACCTGCGCTGCCGCTGCAGCTGCCGCCACTGCGCTAGCCGCCGCTCCTGGGCGTCACTCAGCCGCCGACTGGCAGGGTCCTCACCACCCTCGCCGCTGCCGCCGCCGCCGCCAGCAACAGCAGCAGCACCACCGCCCCCACCCTCTTTCGCCGTCGTCGTCGCCTCCGCCGTACCCGCCTCCGTCATCTCCACATCGCCTCCGCCAGCCGTCGCTGCCTCCGCCGCCGCTGCCGAGCGCGGTTGCCCTGTGCTGCCGGTTTGCTGCCCGGGCTCTACAGGCAGAGGAGCGGCGGACTTCGCCGGTCCGTGTTGGCCGCCGTCGCCGGCATCGTTGCTGGCGTTGGTGGTGGTAGTAGCCACGAGTTGCGACACCCCTGCCGCCGCTGCCGCCGCCTCCTGCACATCATCTCCCACCTGCACCAGCTGCCAGCCACTGCCGGGGGGCGGCACTGCCGCGTCCGCAGCATCCCCGCTGCGCGGCTCCTGCACTACATCCCCGCCGCTAGCTGGCTGCTGCTGCTGCTGCGGTGCCCCCACCACCTGTTCCTCCGAAACCAGCCCAGCACTCAACCCTATCCTCCTCACATCACCCTCCGCCTCCGCAGCCTCCGCCTCCGCTGCTGCTGCTGCGGGTACAGCAGCAGCAGCCCCATGCGCCTCCGCCGCTGCCGCCGCCATCACCTCCTCCTCCGTCAGCCCCACCACCTCCCGCAGCCTCCCCAACAGCGGCCCCACCTCCGTCTCCTCCGTTAGGCCCAGCGGCACCGCCTTGCCCAGCAACCGTCCCACGGAGCCGCGAGCCCGCAGCAGCAACGCCTCCAGGCCGGCTAGCCTCTCGTCTGCATGGCTCCAGCTCCTGCTCATGCCAACTGGATGCTGCTGCTGCTGCTGGTGTTCCTGCTGCTGCCGCCCAGGCGATGATGGATTCCGATCCTGCTGCCGTTGTTGTTGCCCTTGCTGCTGGTGCGGTTGCAAGAGAGCTTCCCCTGCTGCTCCCGCATCCCCTGTTGCTGCACCCTCCGCCGCCTGGGGCGGCTCCCGTTCTGCCGCCCCCTCCGTTGCTGTGGCTGCTGCTGTTGCCGCTGCGTTGCCTGGCTGTCCGTTACCCGCTTGTGCTTCCTGCACAACCTCAGCCGCCACACCGGCATCACATCCACCACCACCACCACCATCGACCCCAGAAGGCCCCGGGATTCCCCCAACCAACATGCATGCCGGCGGTGCCGGCGCCACTCCAACTGCCGCTGTCGCTACCGCCACTGCTGCCGCCCCACCCGACGGCGCCACAGCTCCCCTCGCCGGTGCTGCTCCAGCCGCCCTGGCAGCGGCAGCGGCAGCGGCAGCGGCGGCGCTGCCACTACTAAGCTCCGCCAGCTGAGCCGCAACCCGCTCCCGCCGCTGCAGCAGCTGCGCCTTACGCTGCCTCAGCTGCTGCACTTCCAGCTGAAGGCAGCTCAGCGGCTGCTGTCCTGCCGGCAGCGGCGGCGGTGGACCTGCGGAGCCCTGGTACGGCAGCGTGGTAAGCAGCCCTCCCGGCGGTGGCTGCATGGGTAGGGAGGCGGCGGCGGTTGGGGCGGGCAGTTGCCCCGGCAGCTGCTGATGCTGGTGGTGGTGGTGGTGTGGATAGGTGGGATGGTGCAACATGGAGGGATGTGGCGGGAAGGGTGGGTGCTGTGCGGTACCCCCGGTGTTGATGCTGCTGGCACCGGCGCTGGCGCTGGCACCAGACTCCAGGGCACCAGCAACCGGTTGGAAGCCCCGGGCAGCTGCGAAGTGACGTGCTGCGGGCGGGGGTAGCATGCTGGGAGGTCCGGCTGCAACATGCTCTGCTCGTGGTAGGAGAGGCGGGAGGTCTGGCACGGGATAGGTCAGGGTGCCGGCTGGGCCCGCGTCTTGGGCCTGTAGCTGCTGCCCTTGCTGGCCATCCGTGGCGAGCCCACCGGGGTAAGAGTACGCTGCGTAAGGTGCTGTGCGCCGGAAAACAAGGTCGGGCCGAAAGGAGGCATGGGCTGAGGGCCGCTCGAGGGATGCAAGCATGGCAGCAGCCAGATGGCTGCTGCTGCCGGGCGCGTAAAGTTGCGCGGTGAGGTTAGATGCAAGTTCCAATCGCGCTCTGCTTTCCAGCAGAGTGTCCATTTGAGTGCGCATATCATTGTTGACCATGGCCAAGAGCCGGCTTTGCAGCAGGCCCGAATGAGGCGGCGGTGGATATGGCCGATCGGCAACCGCTAGATTGTGATACGCATTGCACGGAACCTCAGAGTGATTTGTGCCATAGGAGGCAGGTTGGGCTGCTGGAGTGGGCTCAGCGGCCTGTGGCAAATGTTGCAGCTCAAGCCAAGCGCTGCTCATTCTTTGCAGCGCGATGATCTCAGGATGCTTTGTGCACTGAATTCATTGTAATGTCCCAAACACAAACTGCCTCGCTAACAAGGTCTGCCAAAGCCCGGCAACAGCGTTGTTTGCGAATAATGACGAGTGGACGTCACTGTATGAAAGGGGCGGGCTTGTATACTGTCAGCATTGATTAATCAACGTTGCACGCGATTGCAGCGTTACGGCCTAATCCGCGTTAGTCCGCGCTAGTCCGCGGTCGTACATAATGGTTAGCTGGGCATATGGACGCAACACTATACGGTATCGGAATAGACGATAAGCTGCGTTCCATTGACTCATGTAATACTCAGTGATGTATTCCGTATAACGGTCTCCGACACAGTCTCGCGCCATTCATCACTGCGACCATGGCTGTAAGCCGAGCGCTTTGCCAGTCCTCAAAACTTCATCCGACACGACATAGTCACGGGACACATACGACTGCCGTTTCCCGCTCTGTCGTTTCCGCGGCATCTTTGCTACCATGTTGTGCCGCTGCGAGCAGCAGCGGACGTAATGCCGCAGCATCAGGCAACAGCAACGGCAAGCCAGATACACCCTTGGTAACGCCATCTCTAATCATCCCACCACCGTCCACCGGCAGCCAGGTACGGATGGTTGCCCTAAGGCGGAGCATCCTAACCTTGCCCCAACGTTGGCGCCGCGTCGGAAGCATCGCTTTCGTGCAAGTGCCAATACATACAGTTCCATCCCCACATTCCCGAAACCTGCTACTCCTTCATGCCCCCACTGCGATTCCGCCTTGGCCTGGATTACCGATAGCCACACCAACCTCCTCCACCCTCGCCCAGCACGCAACTCATTTCTCGCACGCCCCTGTCCTGACATGGACACACATGCCTTCCGCCTGACATGCCGCACCCCCCATGTCGTCCCGTGTCGTGCCTTGCAGTACGGAAACAACCGCACGCTCGACCCGCCGCCTCCCTTCAGCGGCAGGGGTGGAGGCGACGCGACGTCCGGCGGCGGCGGCGGCCGTCCCACGGGTGATGAGGGGGGGCGTGCAGCGGGTAGAGGCAGCGGCAGGAGCAGCGGCGGCGGCAGGGGGCGCGGCGGCGGAGGTTGGGATGGAGGCCGCGGCAGGTTTGGTGGTGGGCCAGGTAAGCTGTAATGGGATGGGGTGGGGCAGCAGCTGCTGCTGACAGTGGAAAAGCAGCCGAGGCGTGGGGCAGCTGACAAGAGAAGGGATGAGGTGTCCTGGACGGATGGGACTGGGGCACGTTCGCATGTGCATGCATGCGCATGTCGCACTCCATACTGGTAGTTTCATTGGGCTGCTGAGTGATGGCTAGCCCCGTCCTGCGGCCCCGTCCTGCTGTTAGATCGCACACCTGCCAGTGCCCCAGTGTCCTAGCTGCAGCTTGTCTTGTTCTTTTGCTTCGGCTTTGCTGCTGCCGCCGTGATGCCGTGTAGCAACGCTGCTCACTGCTGTAACCCCTGTCGCCCCGTCCCCGTGCCCCGCGCCCCGCGCCGCTACGCCAGGCGGCGGCTTCCCCGGTGACCGGCGCTTCGGCATGTGGTTGCCTCGGCTGCTGGCGGCGATTCAGCTGATGTGCTGGACCTCCGTGCTCGTCATGTTCGCCCGGTCGGTGGTGAGGACATGCACGAAGCTGGCGAACAAGGCGTGGAACGTCAGCAGAGGCAGAGGGGCTGCGGGCGAAGGTGCCCAGAGGCAGACAGCGGGACAAGGGGAGGTGCAAAGGCGGCGGGAGGGGGTGCAACAGCATCAGCCGCCGCAGCAGGGGGGATTGCAGCAGCAGGAGGAGGCGGGTAGCGGTGCGCGTGTAGATCAGGAGGAGACGATTGCGGCGGGAGGGCGGAAGGAGGCAGAAGCAGAGGGCGCTGTTGGGGAGCCACTAAACAGCCCCATCGGGGCGCCTAAGGGGCTGACAGCAGCAGCAGCTGCAACGGCAATGACTGGCATGGGGGTGGAGGCTTCCGTTGTGGGTGCAGAGCCAGATGCAGCTTCAGGAGCAACCACATCGTCCAGCACGGCCTCGCTTGCAGCAGCAGCAGCAGCCCCAGCGGAGCAGGAGGAGGCGGGGGCGAGGGCGCATGCTGCGGGGCCGCAACCCACAAGCAGCAGCGGCAGCTGCTGCAGTGGGGTTGCTGGGACGTCTGCAGGCACAGCTGGTGATGCCTCAGGCACGCCCGAGTCCGGTCCCTCCCAGCAACAACAGCAACAAGAACAGCAGGGGGAGCTGCCTTTGCAGGAGTCCATGAAAGTGCAGGAACCGCAGCAGCAGCAGCAGCAAACCGGGAGCCCTCCTTTCGCACGACACAAGGGCTCTCGATCCAAGAACCTGTCCACGTTTGCGGCTGCCGCTCTGGCGTTGGGCACTGCCGGGCTCGCCTCCTCGATTTAGAAAGGATCCAAGGTCCAGAATTCGTAGGATGTGCCGCGACTAGGATTAGGAGTAGCGCAGGAGGTTAGGCGGCTTGCTGGAGGAGTCCTTTGTAGTGATTGGAAGGAGAAGTAATGACGTGTGAAGTAGTGGTTCGGAGGGTTGGTGCTTTAGGTGGCAGGAGGGTGTAGCCGGCTGCCAGGTTGGTGCTTGGAGAGAACTTCCCAGCTGACGGCGACGATGGCCGTAGCCCGCTTGCCTGCAACTGGTTTGCTGTAATTCGCTGTAAACGTTACAAAAGGATGATGTGAGCAAACGTGAAAGGTTCCTCCAACGGGTTACCAACCCCCTGTGATGATCCCCACGTGTCAATTTCGCGCGTGCAGGGTACCGCACATTGGCAGCACACGCCCCAGTGTCTTCTTCGTGACGACTCCTGTGTGGCCAAGTAACAACTACCTTCATGCTCCACATGCTTAGAGCGATACAAAGCTGTCTGGTTGACGTTGCCCGACACCAGGACAGCTCAGCGCACCGATTGATGGCTGTACCTCGGGTGCGAGACAAGCTCAAAGCAAAACAACAGCACGACAATCCTAACGGAGGAGGTCTCCAGCAGCGACCTACACCTTCCACCGGCTCCGAAGCAACATAGCGTTGCTGTTGGCACAAACACAAACACAGAGGCATGCCCAGCAGGTGCAACAACCACCCCTGCACAACAGCTGACTTGGTAGCCAAATGCCAACCAACGCTTAATGGTCTCCTCTCTCTCTCCTCTCTCTCTCCATGACATTGGAAGTATAGATGAACACCGTCGCAAAATAAACATACCAGCTGATACCAGGCAGGTAAGCGCAACAGATTGTCATTGACAGCATTGTCAGCAGCCAGTGCGTCAGGATAGCAACGATGCCATCATGTCACATGCAGGTAACTGGGCCAAACGTGCTGAATGCTAATGCCACCATGCAGAATAGACGTGCATAAACGACCCACGGGTCAACGCCAGCAACAAGTTGACAAACCATGAGCATTCTAACCAGGTGATTGCAAAGGCGTCTTGGAGCATCCACTTAGGAAAAGGCCATAGATAGAAACCCTGGGGCCATGCATACGGACCATGCTCACGACCCACAAGAATAGCATAAATGGATACTGATTACTCGGGTCTGCCAGTTAAAGCTTCGGGATTGTGGTCAAGGCTCAACGTCCAAGCTAAGACGTTGTAATAGCACAGCGGTCGGCAGTTAGGATGGGATTCAAGAGGAGGCAACAAGCAACAAAAGACGAGACAACAGACAAACCATAACGTCGGATCAACGACCAGCAACATGTTTATCCAAACGTGAATGCATCCTTACCCAAACATTGCATGCAAACCCAACAACATTGTGACATGCAAGTGTGCTGCAACCGTTCCAACCATTGCAACCCTGCCATATATTAACATCAAAAGCTGTCGCAACCCTCCCCAAGCGACATGAGCAACAACAGCAACAACAACAGCTGTAATGAGTAGCAGGAGGTGCAACACCTTGTGCACGTCACAGCATCAAGAGAGCCGTCGCACCGTTATCCCCCCATCGTTCAATTTTAATTTACTCCAGATTGCTGTGCGGGACATCCACGTCCTCTCCGAAAGCCATTCCCCCTCGTTAACGGCTCACCCATCAGCGTCGCATGGACGACATGAGCTCCAGGCCCCGGTGCTCCTGGGTGTTGATGGTGAGGTCCCAACCAAGCTGGCTCCAGACAGACCGGTACCTTTTGAAATGCAGCAGGATGAGCTGCACCGTCTCAAAGCCAGAGGGACAGAAATACTCCAAAACTGGCACACAGCACGTGTTCCTGGCTTGAACCTCCGTGTTGTCGATGTAGCTGATGGTGCCATCACCAGCGGGGAATGGATAGCCAAGAGCGCGGCCGATTTGCTCCTCATCCATGCGTTTGCAAGCCGGGTTCATGAAGGTCTTCCTTGCAAGCTCATACCCGGCGTGGCGGGTGTTGAAAAGCACCCAAGCGCTCTTGAAGCCGGGATGGATGGGGTTGGACGTCAACATGTTGTGCTTAATCTCCTCGGCCTTAAAGCCGTGTTCTTCGAGATTAAACTCCCGCATTACGGGAAGCAAAGCAGCCTCGGCGAGGCCCTTTCCGTAGAACGGTCCAATGCCATGAGCGAAAAGAGCACACGGCTTGATGCCCGCCAGCGTGAACGCAAAGTCACCGTAATGCCGCATGTGGTTCTTTTCGACCTCAAAGCTTACGCTGTTCGCTAGTTGGTCCTTAACTTTCTGTGGTAGGCCATCCATGTACTCAAGTTCCAGCCGCTTGAATTCTAGGACGGCTGGCTTCACATAGCTGGGCAAGGTCAATTGCGACGCCATTGTTTGTATGCTGTATTTAGCTGTATACCGAAAAGGCCAATGGAGACGGTGAAGCTAGCTCGACGCTTACAGTAAGCGAAGGGACGGGATCCCAGGATAAAGGCGTCTAGGAGCAGCTGTATGACACGAACAGCATCCGCGCGAACGCAGGCCTGCATGCCTAGTGCCTTGAATAGTACGCTCGCTGTACGACTCGTCGGACCCAGCGAAGGTACGACACACTTATCGCAAACTTAAAACACAAATCTCCGACATAATAATCGGTTCCATGCCGCCCCTGGCCGAACCGCGGTGCGTTGCTGCGAACCGGTAGGCGCTATGCATATAGCTAGGGCGTTATGCACACATCTGGTATGCTGCTAGCTGTTCTGATAAGCTATAGACACACATGAGTCTCGGTGTCAGATTTGCGGCCAGTTGATTGAACACATGCATCTTGGTCAGCCTCGCGTGGGCTGGTAGATCAGCAGCCGCACACCGCACACACACAACGTGCCTTCCCAGTGACCTGCCTCCCCTCATCGGCACCCCTCCAGACCCTAGGCGGTCCTCCTTTGGCATTCCAATTACATGTGGGTCACACCGGCATCCCTGCCTGCTTCCTGACGCGCCGCATCCCAAAGCCCAGGGGATGACTTGCAGGCCAACACCACAACCGGCTTTGTAGGCCCATCAGTTGCCATCAGTTGACTGGAGCCGGCCAACTACAAGATGTGAGGTACCCTGATGGCAACACCGCAGCAAGCCTAACCTTGCCAACACAGCCAGCATCCCATGTGGCATCCAATACGACGTGTCTGACAGTCGCCCCCCAAACGCCCCAAGATAACAATCCCGCGGCAAGTTTGTGAAGCCAACATACATTCCGATGGGCACCTGTCGTCTGCTTAATAGATAGCCATGTTGAAACAAACAAACGAGAAAGACTCGTGCCAATGGCAACCCAAATTATTTAACAGCGGAGCCAAGACGAGAGCCAGGTTTACTGCCTCCCTCGCACAACTGTCCTCCTAGAGCAAAGTTGAAGCCAGACGGGCTGGCGACGGATGCACATGCCGCCAACGTCTTGACAGCGAAAACTCAAATGAAACGAACTGCACGGCCAAAGAGAAACTGCTCCTATTGCACTGTAACGGGTATCCCGGAATCCCGAGCTTCGCGGGGCATGGCGGGCAGAGGAGTGTACCAACAATCCAACCTTGCTCCACAAACTTGCAATCCTTACCATGTATACTTTGATGCAGCGGACCAACCCACATCGTTCACGGTAGTGCATGACATGCAGGACCCATGGGTCAGCACCGGCATCCAGGGCCAAACAAACCCTCGATACACTTTTTTGTTAACTTCTTGCAGAGAAATGCGGCGTCGATAAAGCTGCTTGGATGCACAATGCCGAGCAAATAAGGCAAGCGATGCCGAATCCTCCGTATGCGTGATTGAATCAGTACGGGGATGCCCCTACTCTTCCCTCATCTCTGATCACACCTTGCAAAACCGCAACGAACAAGCCGTGACGTGTTATGGCTACAACGAACATGCATAGCCTCCGACGGTGTGGCTGTCCGGCTGCCCTATGCACTAACAGCGTATGAGTCCTAACAGGCAAACTACCCACAAATCAAGCACACGCCGTGGTGCAACTCACTCCTGCATCAGCTACCCCGGTGTCATGCTGCAACGCCTGTTACTACCGTATAATCCAGAAGGGCTTACAACATATCAGTAAGTTTGAACCATGTTTCAGAAGCCCCGTTACCTCAACCCACGCAGTAATAAGAATAAATCAACCCATATCGAGTGTTCGAGTCCATGCCAGGCTACGGCCGCTGCAACATCTTAAAGGCGGCGTGCCGGTCAGTCTTAATTGTCAGGTCCCAGCCAAGTTGGCTCCAGACGGCCCGGTACTTGTAGAAGTGATCGCTGATGGCGAAAACGGTCTCGGGGCCAGAGGGGCAGAAGTATTCCGCGACTGGCACGCAGCACGTGTTTCGCGCCTTTGACTCCGTGTTGTCGATGTAAAGGATGGTGCCATCGTCGGAGGGAAGTGGGTAGCCTAGGGCGCGCCCAATCTGTGCCTCGTCTACCCGTTCGCAATCAAGGTTCATGAAGGTATTCCTCGCGAGCGCATATCCGGGATGACGAGTGTTGAAGAGCACCCAACCGCCCTGGAAGCCGGGATGCTTTGGGTTGGACGTCAGCATCTTATGCTTGATCTCCTCGGCCTTAAAGCCATGCCTTTCAAGCTTAAATTCCCGCATCACGGGGAGCAAGGCAGCCTCGGCGAGGCCCTTTCCGTAGAACGGCCCAATGCCATGAGCGAAAAGAGCACACGGCTTGATGCCCGCCAAAGTAAATGCAAGGTCACCGTAATGTCGCATATGATCCTTCTCAACCTCAAAGCTTATGCCGTCCGCTAGCTCATCCTTAACTTTCTTCGGTAAGCCATCCAAGTATTCGAGTTCGAGTCGCTTGAATTCCAGGATGGCTGGCTTGACATAGCTGGGCAACGGTCCGTAGAACGCCATTGAATTTACGCCAGGGTATATATGTTGCGCTAACTGTATTGTGTATGGAAGCTCAAGCGTCCCAGCGCACTTTGGGTCGCGGGACAGTGAACAAGCGTGCATCAATTAGAGGACTGTGGTTCAAGTCCTTCGCTAGTATACTGATGGTCGCACTGGTTACCATCACCGTACGACAAGGACATGAAACGACGCGAAACTGGCTCCGGCAATTTCATTAGATAGCGATCGCAAATCCCACTAACGAGGATCGGCTATGCGCATTTTAAGCGGCCTCGCGCAAGCCCGTGATATGCTCCACCGCGCCTATAAGACCCAAACGTCCCAAAGCGGCCATCACCACCACCACGAGCGCCCCACACACACCCTCTGCGGGTCAAACCCCCCAACCAACGGAACCGACGGCACCGCATTGTGCCCGCCTCCATGGATTGCGGTGTGTATCTTCATCTGATCGCCCAGCGCACGCCACCTCCACACCGTCCACCCGTCCCCCTCCTGCCTACCTCCCTACACCCCGACCGCATTCCATCCATCCCTCCGGACCCCCTTTACACCGCCTTCTTCCCTTACCCCCCCCCCGCTGCCCTCCTCCTCCTTCGCCCCCTCAAATCTGCGCCACCGCCACCGGCTGCCCCCCCGCCGCCGCCGACCCCAGCAGCGCCTCAATGAGCGCCAGGTCCCTCGCACCCTCCTCGGGACTGCTACGGGCATGCGGACCGGGTACGTGGTTGACGTCAGCCGCGGCCCCAGCAGCAGCTGCAGCGGCGGCAGCAGCAGCAGCAGCAGCGGCAGGAGGCGTAGCAGCGGAGCGCAGCTGGGCGGTGGTGCGCAGGAAGTCATCGAATTCATCCGGGCAGCCGGAGAAGCCGAAGGGGATCTGGAGCAGTGTTGGATCGGACTGTGTGGGGTGGGTGGGTGGGTGGGAAGGGGGGTGGGGTGGGAAGAGGGGTGGGAAGGGGGGTGGGAAGGGGGGTGGGAGGGGGAGTGGGGTGGGGGGGGTGGGGTGGGGTGGGAAAAGAAGAATATCCAATGTATGGGAAGGGGGGGAAGGTGTGGGGAGGGAACGGGGAGGGCGGCAGGAGAGGGGAGGAAGGGTTAGAGGGGTTGTTTTCGAGGAGGTAAGGAGAGGGGCGTGACGAGACGGAGGTTCGAGGGTACGGAAATGCTTGCTGCAGTTCGCCACGCCGATCAACACGACAGCTGAACTCAAGGCAACGCCCTTGGTATCTCCTTTCCCTTGCCCGCCGCACCTTGGACACCCTCCAACCTCCCGACCACCACCCACACGCATGCATGCAAAACACCCTTTCCTTCATTCCCTTCAATCCTACCCTCCCAACACCTCCCATAGTCCCTGCACTGGTCGATCCTGCCAGTAGTCTATGCGCTCGTCTCAACCATTACCGGTACCGTAAACACCGAATAACTGCGAATGGCTCATTAATTCAGTTATAGTTTACCCGTCGGTCCCTATTGAATAACCCCCGCAGTGATGCTAGACCCCCTGTCCCCTGTCCCCTCCTCCCCTCTTCATCTCTCACCTGCCCCGCCTGTTGTTGCTGCTGCTGCTGCTGCTGCTGCTGCTGCTGCTGCTGCTGCTGCTGCAGTGAGGGCGGCATCACGCCTGCCACCACCTCCTCCGGCAGGGGCGATGCGGTCTTGATGGACAGCATGTACCCAGCCCGCGACCCGCCCCAGCCACCTCGCGACACCTCCAGCGAGCCCTGCGTGCCAACCACACTCAGCGACCAACGCACCTGGGGAGCGGGGGGGGGGTCAAAGACCATACCGAACCATAGGAGACCACAAGTTAGGGCAAAGCAATGGAGCGCGGGGGTGGGTGGGTGGGGGGGCAGGGGGGCACGGGGACAATGAAGGAGAAACTGGATGCAGGGGAGGGGCAGGGGGCCGGGTAGGGGGGGAGACAGTGAGAGGGCACCGCAGCATTCCGTGCTGTGCACACAGCTGAAACCACGCCGCCCCCAGGCGCCTTCCCGACACAGGCCCTACACCATCCCCACCCCACCCCATCCTTCCCACCATACCCGTTTCGCCATTCCCATTCCCATTCCCATTCCCATTCCCAGCACCTCTCCCGGGCCCACACATCCCACCTGGATTGGTTATCAACACACCCACTAGCGCTCATGCCCGATGGCCGTCGTGACACCGGTATATCAGCTCCCCCTTCACCACCCCCCACCCGCACGGCCCCACCTGATGTGCCCCCAGCGATATGCTAATGGCCGCGGGTACCCCCCTGGGGAACAGCGCCACCCCCACCACCGTGTCGGGGAAGGACAGGTCGGGTTTGGCCTGCAGGGGGGGAGGGGGGGCGGTGAGGGGGGGGAGGAATGTTGGGTTGGGGGGGCTGGAAGGCGAGACAGGGGAGGGGATGCACCCATATGCCTGTGAGCAAGCCGACTGCTGCTAACAACGCGCCCGCCCGCCATTCCGCCCTTCTCCCCAACTTGGGCTTTCCCACATCTCTCTCTCTCAGCCACCCCTCCTCCTCACCTGCAGTGCATGCGCGCTCGCACTGGCCGGCTCCCCCAGTCCCGCCGCCCCCGCCAGCAGCCGCAGCGCCGCGATGAAGTGTACGGAGGAGTCGGAGAAGAAGCCGCCCGGACAGCCGGACGTGTCGCGGCGCCAGGAGCTTACATAGTACCTGGGGAGGGGAGAGGAGCGGAGGGGAGGGGAGGATGTGGGTGTGGGTGTGGGTGCGGGTACGACGCCCGTGTGGGTATATGACCCCCTGGTGGTGTGACACTCAAGGCCCACAACACCTGCACATGAGCGAGTTGTTTGCGAACCCTGCAAGCATCCCGCTGCAGCTGCTGCTGTTGCTGCCTCCCCGCTCCCCCCCCCCCCGGGGTCCTTCCGACCTTATCTTCCGACCCTAAGGCCCAAGGTTACAGCCAACGCTTACGTTGCGAACAGTCCCGAAACCATTACTCGGTACCCGCCCGCCCGCCCGCCCGCCCCTAAAACACCCGCCCCGCCCCGCCCCGCCCCCCCCCCCTCACTTGTTCCTGGGGTCCATGGGCAGGTCCGCGATGAGGTCCAGTTTGACCACCCGACCCAGCTGCGGAACCAGGCTGCAGGCGGCCAGGAAGGAGGCCTCGTAGCTGGGGGAGCGGCGGCGAGGGGGAGGGGGAGGGAGAGGGAGAGGGAGGGAGGGAAAAGAAGAATACCCGATGTGTTGAATGGGGGAGGCAGGTGTGGTGTGGTGTGGGGGGGTTGGGAGGGGCTAGTCTGGAAAAAGCCCAAACCAGGGCAAGTGGGAGGGCAAGATAAGGTGTGATGGGGAAAAATGGATAAATGCATCAAGGGAGTCCCAATCCCGAATCCCGATGTGATGGGGAGGTGGGCTTGCCCAGCGTGCGTAGGTGCGGGGCCAGGGTAGGAGTGGCAGGAGGGGGAGGTGTTGTAGTTGGCGTGCGAAGGGGCAAGTGCCAAGGCAGCGGGGCAAAGGAAGCCTCGCGGCCAGGCAGCGGCACCTCCGCCACACCCACAGGCCCCCAGGAGCCCCCCACACCGCCTTCCTCCACACGCGCCCCCCACCCCCCCCCCCAACCCCAACACACACGGCCGGTTCTCAAAACACACACTCACACACTCCCAACTATCCCAATTGCTTGCTCTTGTTTTATTCAACTACTACACACACACACTCGTTCCCGCTCGCAGCTCAGTTTCTTTCTTTACACCCCATACACACTTCACAACAACGCACCGGTAGTTCTCAGCGAAGAGCCACAGGGGTGCCGCACCGGGGCTGCGTGCGGCCGCCACCGCCGACCGGTATTCCCGGATGACCTCCGCTGCGGCCGCCACACAGGGCCCCACCGGCTTCTCCTGCACCACCGCCTTGCCCGCAGCCAGGCAGCGCCGTACCACCTGGTTGGGGGGTTGGGGGGTGGTTGAGGGGAAGGGAGGTGTGTGTGTGTGTGTATGTGTGGGGCGGTGTGGGGAGCGAGAAGAAAAGGGCTTTACTCCCCACGCCACCACTCCACCGTTCCTTTGCCCCATTGGGCCGTTGCCTTTTGCCCTAACTGCCTTTGCGTCTTCTAATTTGGTATGTCAGTTACAGTTAGAGTCTGTAGGTCATCATCACCGGTGCGCCGCCGGTCATCCCATGTCCCACTCCCCACCTGCAGAGCCACCTGCACGGGCAGTACGACCACTACCAGGGATATGGCAGGGTCGTCCAGGATCTGCTGCAGGGCCGCCTCGCCCGCAACCGCACGACTGGATTGAAAGTGCCTGGGGGTGGGGATTGGGGTTGGGGTAGCGCGGTGGAAATGGGGGCGGGTGGGTAAAGAGGGACGGGGTGCGAGGAGCAGGGAAGCATTGCAGCGGGGTTGGTGATGTGCGAGGATGGTTAAGGCAGCCAGACCGCAATTTCCAGGGTAGGCAAGGATTAGAGAGGTGTAGCTTCTTAAGGGTGTGGCCGATTTGAGTTGAGTAGAAACACTTGCGCCAAGTATTGTACCGATACCTGCTGGCACGACTTGGCATGTCCCATGAACGCAACCCAGTGGCTTACTCTTTTACAAAGGCCTCTGCAGACTCTATAGTCCTGGACCATACTGCTTTAAGCTCAACCTCGCTGGCCCTTTCCCTGCGCAGATCGCGGATTGTAGCTGTTGCTTCCGAATGATTGACGCTTGCGTGGAACGGAAACAACAGGACGCGCTCGAATTTACAAACTCCGGCTGGCATTAGCTTACTTGAAGTTGTTCTTGTAAACATCTTTTGCAAAGATGCCGGTACCAAGCAAGGCCGCGCCAATGAGTGCCATCAGTCGCCTCAAACAATACCAAAACGTCCCAGCTTTCGGAACAACAATGGTCGTCAGTATTACAATTGAGGTTACGTGGATAAGTGCGTGCAAAGATTGCTGCGAGTTGTCGTCCAACCAACGCCGTTGGCATCTGCTATCTGCATCCGTAAGTCGAGGTAGGTGCCTCCAGCAGCAAACGCCAAGCCGACATGACCGACTTTCATTACACGTTACGCAGCTTTTAGCTGTCCTGCTTTGTTCCTTAGGTATTGCGACGGGTGACCCCGGGGTCGACCCGTCCTCCCCAACTCCCTGAACACTTGGCCAACAAAGGTGTTAAACTTGATCACTCACAGCTCCAGACCCCCGCATCAATACACGTCAACAGTACGTAAGAGTGTAACCCACACAAACGACCGGAAGGTCATTCCCAAGCCTCCTCATTGAACCCCTGTATGGTAAACAATGCAGGCCGATCATGACGCAACAGACAAATGTCGTCGCTTGGCAAGATGGTGACGCTGAAAACGACTATACTCCAATAGCAGTAAACCCATGCACACGAAGGGAAAGTCCACATCGTTTCCCTGCAGCAAGTATTTCGGAGAAAGGCACCTCTGTACAACCCAAGAAGCACAGCTATCCGACCCCTAGCGCGCACAGCACGCACGGCCGCACAAATAGCTGAAGTAGGATCTTCCTTGGCGAACGCACGCAAAGACCGAAACCTTCCAAGTACCAAGGGCAAGAATGGCTAGAAAAGGCCGAATGGGCGCGCCCCCAGCACGAATGAAGGAAACACAAAATGTAGTAAAGCTGTTCTAGTCTCCGATGTTAAGCAAGCATCATCGCCGCAGCCCTCGCAATGACGGCATCACGACCCAATTTCTCATGTGCAACGAGATATTGCGAGATAGGGTAACACTGTCCATCGGCCTCCTGAGCGCAACACACGATTCAATCTCCAAAAACCAGATACACATCATGAAACCAGATACATCGCGAGGTAATCGAGGGCGTCAATGTATGTATATCGGCCGAGTTCACACGCACATATGGGCGCACATACGTTCTGCAGGGGCACTCGTCCCTTAACTCCGTTGGTCCTGCTGGGAGCCAAACCGCGCTGCGCCGATAATTCAAACGCACCCCTTTCGCTTTCTCATTAACCTACACAACCATCACGAGTTCACGACACTACAGGACGCAGCACCTCCACGGGAAGCCGAAGATTAAAACCTAACGCCAAACCCCAACAACACCCACAGATGACCCACCAGCCCCTCGGCCCCGTCCATAACTGCCCAGTCCAGCGCCCTTACGTACCTGAGCAGCCCATTTGATTTACGTTGCTCGCTGTATAAGCCACGTGTCAGTTTATCTTACGCATCGTTACGTTACGTCGTACGTTTAATTTACCACCAGCCTCACTCACGCACTATAAGGAACCCCCCCAGGAAAACTTGCACTTCAAAGCATATCCCCCACACACCCATCCACACCGCGACCCTACCCTGCAAAATTGCGGTTGGAAACGTTGTACGGGGAAGCTTCGTTAGCGTACGGAAACCTCGAGCCCTCGTTGACGGCTGCAGCGGCAGCAGCAGAAACAGTGGAAGCAGCGGAAGCATGGGCAGCACCAGTAACACCATCACCACCACCACCTTCATCCTCAACTCCATCACGACCCATCACAATTGCTGCGGTAGTGACAGCAACATTGGGCAGTGACGCAAGGACAACGGCAGGAGCGGCAGCAGCGGCCGCCGCACCGCTGCCGGCAGCGGCGGCCCATGCTGCGACCCCTCCTCCTCCTCCGGCGCCGGCGGCGGGGGTCACCATGACACTCACAGACGCCCATCGAAGCCTTGCTCGGGAGGAGAGGTTCACGCCGCTGCCGCCAGCTCCGCAGCTGCCGCCGCCGCCACCGACGCTGCTATGGGCTGCGGAGGAGGCGGTGGTTACGGAGCCCTGCATGTGGCAAACGTCGCCACCAAACCCGCCCTCACTGACCTCCGTGACCCGGCTCACCATGCGTGTGAGAAGCAACGAGGGGTGCAGCTGCTGCTGCTGCAGCAGCAGCTGCCGTGACGGCCGCGCCAGCTGCCGAGGCTGCTGCTGCTGCTGTTGCTGGCGGGCAGCGGCAGCGGCAGCGGCCTCCACGGATTTGCGAGTGACAGGCAGCAGCAGCGGGGCGCGTGGAGCTGCCGCATGCAGCACCTCCCGGCTACCCCACGAGTGACGCTCGCCTCCTGGAGGGTGGTGGTGGGGGTGGGGGTAACCACCGGACGCAGAGGTAGCGGTTGCTGTTGAAGAGACGGGATGCCCAGGAGCACCAATGCTGCTGCCGTCCCGACCCGAGCCTCGAGCACCCGTCCCTAACCCGCCAGCTGCAACTTCGTCCCGGGTTGCCTTGCCTTTTGAGGCAAGCAGCGTTTCTTTGGATGGTCTTCTCGGGGTGATGTATGCTCGGCCAGGCGCCATGAATCCCGAAATGTCACTCGACGACAGAAGGTCTATTGCAGAGTGCCGTCGCGCGGTGGCAGCTCTGTTGTTGCTGCTGCCCATGCAGCCTGGCTGCTTCAGATGGGCTGTGGCTCCGCAGCCTCCGGAACCGCTGTTGCCGCTGCCCGCCGCGGGGAAAGCAAACACCTGCTGCTGCTGCGCCGCGGCTGCTGCCGCTGCAGCAGCAGCGTGGTCAGCTGCCGCCGCCGCCGCAGCAGCAATGGCAGCTTTCACTGGTGAGTAGCAACCCAAAGGAGACGAGCTCCCGCTGCCTCCGACGTCCCCTCCATCCTCCTCCGGGGCATAGCCTTCCAAGGTTTCGGGCCTTCCCAGCTCCGGCGGCTCCAGGCCCTCCCCATGCAGGCCCCCCGCATGCTGCTCGATCTGCAACCCTGACAACAACACCATGAGCGGCTCCTGAGAGGGACGGTTCGCTGCAGAGGCTGCGGCGGGCGCTGCCAGGATGCGGGAAATCGAGGGGCCACCGCCGCCGTAACCGGCTGTGAAGCTCTTGACACTGCGGCCGCGCGTCAAGCCGCCGCCGACACCGCCACTGCTAGAGAGGATCAAGCTCTTGATGCTGCTACGCCGAGCACCGGTGGTGGCTGCGGCAGTGCCGCCGCCGAGGGTGCTGCCTCCTGCATGTGCGCTGCGTTCGAGGCTGTTGACGGTTGGGATGCTGCCGCCGCAGGTTCCGTTCGCTACACGGTTGAACAGAGCGGCTGCCTGTGAGGCGGCACGTGCGGACTTGTCCGCAGCCACGGCCGCTGCCGCCTCTGCCGCTTCTTTTTCTACCGCCTTTCGCGCGCGTTCGGAGGGAAGCTCGTCCTTGAACTGGCCCAGGTTTGCGCGGGGACCTGGTGGGGGGGGCCCGAGGGTGGGGGTATCACGGATGAGGGATGGCAGAGGAGGAGGGAGGGATGGCGGGATATGTTTGGAAGGCGGCTGATGGGATGAAGGAAAGTCTATAGCTTGGCTTGAGCTGCGGGGAAAGAGCATAGGGAACGCGCGTCGCCATGATCGTTGCATGCATGCATGGCAGCATGGGTCGAGCATGGGGTGAACCAGCTGTGTGGGCATGGGTGGGCAGTAGCAAACGCAGAGCAGAAGGATTAGCAATGACCAGCAATTACGGGACACGTAAACTGAACATGGGAGCAACACAGGACGGCTGCAAGCCAACCCCTCACCTATGAACCAGTGGCGCGCGCCGTACCTCGGAAGGTAATACCTGCATGAAACAAACGAGACAAAAGGATGAACAAATTAGACAATTAACTACACGAAGCTAATGCGGTAAACACCCTTTTGTAAGCATAAAAGCATCTAGGGGGCCAGCAGCGGCTTGGATATAAGGAACGGTGTTCGAAGGCAAGGCATGCAGCGCAAACGGTCTGGGTTTGGGCTTCACCACACGCCGCCTCTACACGCATGCAATGGAAAGAAAACACCAAGGCTAGATCCACACCCACCATCCAAGAAAGGACACAAGCGCGACGCCAAGAATGGGCGCGCTCCAATTCAGGTTGATGAGCGTAACCGGGTAGAATTGCGGCAGGCAGAACGTCACCGTCATCGCGAGCACCCAAACCGAGGATACGATGTTGTTAATGTACGACAGCCGAGGACCCAGGAAGAAGGGCCCGGGCAAGAAGAAGCGCCGACCGGTGGAGAGCCTGTGGGCGGTGTGGATGGGTGACAGGCCACAGGGGGTACAGATGGAGAAAGAAGCACCCATTGACAGGGAACTACTGTACAACAGGTCTCTTTTCATGGGGGAACCATTGCAATGGTAGCATGCAGGAACGGTAGATGACGTCCCTTATCCTTTGCCACCACTGTTTGCTAATCAACACTAACCATCAATGTCGCTTGCAAAGGGAAAGGCGCAACTCGATCACGCTGGAGCTGTACCCTTTCCAGGCCAAGGAACAAAAAGGCAACAACGCTGCCCCACACGCTGCTGGAAGGGACCCAGTGCTGCTTCCTCCTTACTTGCATATCACGGGCAGCGCGTAGGCGAGGTAGCACCCGGCCACCGCAAAAGAAAGGATGGCGGGGAACTGCGGATACCAACGGGTGCGACACGAGGCAATGGCACGACATCGGTTGGTCAGTTTTGCTCGTTACGGAGCACCTATGGAATGTGCAATGGTAGAAGCAGAGTAGACAGGGAAGAGTTGAGAGTACGACAAAACCAACCCCGTCATGCAACACTGGACCCTGTGGTGTTCCTGCGGCAAGCGTTGGTCATTCAGAGCTGCTGCTGCCGCCCAGGCCGCACATCGGTAAGCGGCCACTCATTCCCATGTCCTTCCCCAACCTCATCCGTCATCCCCATGTCCTTCCAGCTAGGATACGGTGTGCTAAGTACGGTACAAACACTAGGTCTAGAAGGAAGCCGCGACCGTGCCGTTGCCTTTTTCCTGCCAGGACTGTTTAAGACACATGCCGTACACCCACCACATATGCGTTGAAGCACATGGGCGTGGCCAGCAGCCCTGACAGCAGCACCATGTACAGCACTGCGTACACGGGCGCCTTGGTGCGGGGGTGCACCCTCTTGGCATAGTTGGCGAGAGGAACGCCGTCGTCGCGCGCAAAGGCGTACAGCATCCTGTCAGAGGGAGAGAGAGCGCCATGCAGCATTATATCGACATTACGGACATGCACTCCATTAACTCATGGGTGACGTTTAGCAGCGCGGCATTGCAGCGTGTAGACCGGTCAGAGTGGCGTGGGCATATCGCTAAACAGGAACAAGAAGCGATGGCAGTAAAGCAAACCAGATGTTGCTGCATTCGACGTTACACTTTTGACCACCGCCACCCTACCTGGAGTTGTTGGCGATAGACTGAGGCCCCACAGCACATGTGGGACACCGGTCGTCAAGGTTCCGACATAGCAGCGATAAGGAACACGGTCGGCGGGGGGGCGGTGTGGCACGGTTAGTGCTGGCGAGCAAGGTCTGCTAAAAGCCACACGCCAGTGTGATGCACATGCATGCACGCGCCTTGATCGCCGCTACACTCTCTCCATGGTCATGGGTGCACGGACATGCACCAGGGCGTACCCCAAGGGGGTGTACCCATAGCACGGCGCGACACAGCACAGCAAAGCACATGATAGCAAAGGGCGGCACAGCACAACACAGCACAACCCTGCCTCGTCATCAGATCCCAGCCCAGTCCCCTCTGCGGTGCTGCAGCGCACACAGCGAAGCACCAACCTGGTAAGAGCAGAAAAACGCGGCCACAATGGGGATTGAAAACAGCGCGACGCCGCTGTTTTTATAGCCGTACGATTTGGCGATCTCAATCAAGATCTGCAGGACCACATTGGTTCCATGCGTTTCATTGCCCGGATCCAACAGCGTGGCGACGTCAAGTTTGACCGAAATCATGGTAAGCAGGAAGGCAAAGCCTGCAACGCCCATGCCGACGCAGGTATGCAGGATGGCTCGGGGGACGTTTGTTTCTGCATGGAAGGTTTCCTCGGCCAGATGGGCCGCGCCGTCGTAGCCGATGTAACAGCTCCTGGGGTAACAACACAACACCGGTAGCAGACGGGGCATTAGGATTAAACTGAGCAGCAGACGGCGCAGTGTGAGCGGAAGGGACACCAGATCGGTCCTCATAGTCCAATTTATCCAGCCCTTAGACCGAACTAAAGGAACATGCGGCGCCGTAATTCTCTCGACCATCTGCGGAGTCGAGAAACAACACGACGCCGCAAAGCCGCTTACACACCGCGGGCACCCGAGGGCCCAAGGGCCTGATGTCTGATGGCACTCACTGTGACATGAGCAGCCCCACGAGCGTGGTGTACACGGGGCCCGATATGCCGGTGACCTCGGGTTGTGCTTGCCAGGACGTGAACATGTACTGCGGCACCGGAAGCAGGGAAGCAGTCCGAACGTGGGGAGCACACCGATGCGGTGAGTTGACGGAAGAGTTGGTAATCACCGTGGTGAACGGCGTGCGGGGAATCGGGAACGGAGAGTGTCGCAGCTGCCTCACGCTTGCAAGGCTAACTAACGTTGTATTGCTACTCGCGGCAGCAATAATAAAGGAGCATGTTACAGGTTGCGTAACGGGAGTTTTGCTGCTGGAGGCATGTTCCGTCATCGTTGGGGCGCTTGGGCCCCCCTCCCAGGCCCCCTTCCCCACCCCTCCTTCAGGCGCACCTTGGCTGGCTGCCTGGCAGGTGCGACTACCAGCACGCACACGCAGAAGGCGATGAGCGCCACGATGTGCCACCTGGGCGGGAGAAAAGAGAAGGGTAGAAGCAGGGCGAACAGGACGAAACCTACCGTAGTAGAAACTAAGCAAACACGAAGCCCTGTATGCAATTAACCACGAGCTCCTGACAATGCGGCCCAGGTCGCAAAGCTGCCGCCCCCTTTTTGGTTGCCTGACGCGCAAGCACACAGCACACAGCACACAGCACACTGCGCGAGCCTAGCTTACATGGTCCCCAGTGTGACCATGAACGCTGTCAGGCGCGCCGTGCCGCAATTGAGGAGTCCTGTGGTCACGGAGACGCCCACAAGGATCCCAAACACCTGAGCCTGGCTAAGGTTGACGCCTGGAGGGGGAGGCATGAGGGACAGGTGGTGTGTACCGGCAAGCAGGATGGGTTACGATCTTACGAATGAAGGGTGAAGGGTGCATCTTACAAGGCGTTGGGGCGTTGAAGGACACCGGTTACCCGTGACATGGCATGACACACGGCGTGCAGGCCGAGCGGTAGCCGAGCAGCGAGTGAACCTCCTTCCCGCACCTTACCATATTGAACCTCCACCGCAGTAGCTAACAAGTGCACAAAGGTGTAAAAGGCGGAGGCCGATAAAGCAGCTTGTCCCAGTGTCAGGATCCAGGCTGTCATCCAGCACGCCAGGTTTCGGAGCCGCGGCGGGGCTAGTTTGTACGACCAGTAGTACAGCGCACCCGAGGTCGGGTAGGCGGAGGCCAGCTCCTGGGAAGAAGAAGGAAGGAAGGCACAGGCGACGGGAAAGGTCAAACAGCGGCCCGCAAGGGGAAAGATGAGCATCGTCAGCCTGTTAGCTAGTTTGCCCGCACATGCATGCATCGATGTCGGTGGCACGGTACGACTGCAAGGCCCGCAAGCTAGTCCCCAGGGACGCCTTCCATCCTCCATCCTCCGCCCCCTCCGGTCCCCTCTCCTCCAACCTTCAGGCCAAGTCCCCAGTCCCGTTATTGTACGTGCCCCAGCGCGTCCCATGCCATGCCTGCCCCTCAGGGCTAACCCGCTCCTGTCCCCAGCCCGCCACAGCTTACCGCCATACTCAGGCCCACAGAGGTGGCAAAGAGGGTCACGACCAGCCAGCCCCATCTAAGTAGGGGGCGAGAAGGAAGGAATCAAGCATTGCGCACCCGTCAAGCATCATGGGTTTGTGTGGATTTATGATGTACGGCTTACACGGCCTTATGCAACAGTTAGAGCGCTTAGGTAACGAAAGCGCATAGGTAACGATTAACAGTGAACCATGGGTCGCTCATCGCTTCAAAGCTTCACATGGTGAGCCTCAGAGCCCAATGCTTTCAAAGCAAGCCACGTACAAATTACGAAGTGCCGTACATGCATGTATCTCTTACTCACATCATCACAACTGGGCCGCCGTACGTGATCCCAATGCCGTACGTCCCTGCATGGACATCACACATGCCGCCCCGTTAGCACCCGTTACGAGAACACGAAGGACACATTTTGTTGTTTCAAATTCGCATGACGGCAGCGAAGCGTCTTTGGAAGCAGCTAGTCATCGGAGGCTGGAACGCAAGTTGTTGGTTCCCGTTGGTTTACCTGACAGACTGGTGAGGCTGCTGAGTAATGTGAAGCCGCTGCCGAAAGAGTTGAACAAAGTAAACCTGGACAGGGTTTGGATGTAGGCGGCCAAACATGGCCAGGATGACGAGGGTTGAAGTTGCTAGATAGGGGAGCAACTAGGGGTGCCAGTTGCTACCCTCTGGGTTCCTTGCCAGAGCAAGGCGTTTACCTTTCACGCAAAGCGCGCGCCTAAGCCTGCTTGACCAGCACCCTTAAACAGTCACGACGGGAGTCACGGATATGCCACGGGTCTTCCCAGCAAGCCCTCTCCTCTCTCCTCCTCCCACTTGGCTACGACCCGAATGGCCTGGAAGGCCTTATTGCCGGCCGCCGGCCATCCTCAGGCAGCAGGGCCTAGCACCCTGGTGCACAGGTCGGTGTTCCCATACCATGCTAAACCCATCCATTCCAGCCCGAGCAATTACTCACTCGCGCTCCAGCTCCTGCTTATAGCCCAGCATCAGCAGCTTCACGGTGTCGGTGTTGGGCCTGCCGCGCCGTCGGGGCGGTGGCACATGGTGCATGGGCGTACTGGCTCGGTGGATTGCGGCTTTCCCACCCGCTTTCTCCTTTGGGGGAAGGGGCACACGTTATAACCAGCTTAGTGTGCTGCACGATCATAGTAACGCATATGGTTGGGATCAGCAGGTCCCATGTAAGTTGGAGGGGGAGCCGACCATATGGCCGGCAGTTAGGAACGGTGGGGAGAGGGGTCAAGCTCCGGCGCTGGGTTGGTTGCAACATGAAAGTAGGCATCTGCACGGCAGCGCTAATAAAAGGTATCACTCTATTAAACTTGTAGCGAGCGCACGCCCAGCTTCATGTTGTAGGCCTCCCGGACGGCACATCCATTCATCAATACGATAAGTACGTTGTTATGTCACGTACTACTCGCGCATTCGCCCAACGTTATGTGAAACAAAAGTGGCCACACCCACGGCCTACATGCCATTACGTGGCAGGTTCCCAAGAGAAGACCAAGAAATCACTTAACATTTTGTACTTACCATTTAGCGCGCCACAGTCCTTCAGGGTGTGTCTACTTAAAGAGGACAGGCGTCTCGGTTCCAACTGCAACGCTTTCTTATAATTCACATATAGTAGAGAAACTACGTCCAGTATAAGAAGGTGTGTACATGTTTGATGCGTTCATGGTTGGCTTCGGAAGGGACAGACATACCGGTATAGCGTATGACAAACTCCGTCGCCAGTGGGTTGTGTATATTCTAAAGGCTATAGCTTTTGCAAGATAAGTGCATTGACATATATAAGAGTAGTCCATCTTTGCCAGCCAACTCCGCAAGGGCGGAGGGAGTCTGTCGGTTCGTTACACGGTTTGTGGGCGAAAACCCAGAGAGTTCCGCACCGATCCCTTGAAATCGTTACATGAACTTCAACTATTACATGAAATTAACTAGAGAGGTGCATTGCACGCCGTGGACCCACTCATTGGCCTTACCAAAATAGATGCTCGTGCATCGCATCTCTTAACCGCGGTCCTAGCAAAGGAATTCCATTGGGGAAGGGCGACTAGCAACGGAACACGTCAGTGACACCCCAACTGCAAGTACAAAAACAACTCTGATACCCATCCACAGGAACAGTAACTATGCCTCCCGCAGTATGCCCCCACTACACGAAGACGTACAAATCAGCAAAGTAAGGATCCTGGCCTGGGCACCACAACCCCAACCGTAGTGCTCACCACCTCGGCTGCTGTTGGGGTTGCTGTCCGAAACCCAACATACCGTAATACAGTTGTTAATACGATGACGCATCTGCCTGGTGACCGCAAACGTAAGCAAACGCATGAACAATGTGCAAATGTGCGAAATTGACTCGGCGCCGACAAGAACGTGTGTAGTTGAGTAAACTGAATGTGTGTGTGTGGGAGGGGAGGATGGGACCAAGGACGCATCAGGCCCCTGGCCTAAATCCCAGCCACCACAGCTGTACACGCGCCCCGACCAAAGCTGCCCCTCCACACAGTGCCTGCAGCCAGGTAAACCATGCAAAATACACATGCAAAGAAGCACAACACAGCTTCCCTGTACTAGGCATTGGGTGCCATCACGGAAGGACCGCCAACATGCTCGCAAAGCCGCAATAAATACCGGAAAGGGCGGACTCTGACACTGGGCAAGTATCCCCACGCATACGCGCATCAATGGGGAGAGGGTGCGCGGCAATCGTAGGCTAACCGCAAACTCGTAAAACTCATCACCAGCCCAAGCATCTGCAAGGCCCGTTTAGGCCGCAACAACATACTCCGTGCTCCCATGCCAAATGGCATTCAGTTTACAGGGCGGAAGGGGCCTCTCCACCTTTCCCTTCACCCCGCAGCAGCCCACACGTCCCCAAAGTCAGACGAACGCACACAGGCGGGCTCGCTTGGGCAACACCACAGCCAGAGAGTCCCCGCAACTTGTGCGCGGACTCCTAAACACCACGCGTGTTACTAATGAAGTCACAACTTGGAAGAGCGTTTTCACAGGGCATGGTACACACTCGCGGAGCACAGCCGTTCTTGAGAATCCCACTGCCCAGCGGATTCCGTCCTCGGTTAAGTATGCAAGAATGGAATGCACCCGAAAGCCAAGTGCATGGGCGATTGACAATGCCTTTGGTCTTGACCACTATGTGCCGTTCGCCCCTTGTTGAAAAACACACACACGTTCCGACTCGCGGCCAGTTTCCTTAAAACACACGCACACACATACCGGTAGGCGAGCATCACGGGAAACGATCGAGCAGCAGCATCCATGAGACGATCCCGCGAGCTTGTAAGAACGGGCGGGAGTGTAGCTTTTCAGCAGCAAAGGTTTTGCTGAGGAAAAGACAATGCCAACACAAGTTTACTCAGAACCCCTAATACAATACCATAGCATGGCGGCAATCCGGCAAAGCCAACCTCTACTCAGCAGCAACAGCCCAGTACTCGCCGTTCACTCGAAAAACGTACCACAAACGTCGCACAGGCCCTCCCTCAAGCCATTGGCATGTCAAGATTTGAACATGAAAACGTACCAAGCCTCGTAAAGCTGCGCTGTAAACATAATCCGCTGCGGTTTTGGCCAGCCGCCGCCCCTTCCGCGGCGGCATCGAACCCCCATATGCCTACACAGCGTTCACTGCCGCGTTACCGCCGGCCCCCTTGCTCCTTCTTTCTCCCTCACGCGCACGCACTTTTTAACATAGGATTAAATCGCTTGCAGCCCTCTTTGCGCGACCGCGTGGGTAATCGGCTAGCCTCTAAACGTGCAACCAAGTGCCGAAAAGGCCCGGCAAATTCTCCAAAGACAGTACAACAACCCTGCTTTGCGAACGAACGCAGCAACATGTATCTTTGCTATACACCAATGCCAAAAACGCAAAACCCTGGGGGTACCGCATGCGTGCAAGCACACATGCATGCACTCCCAGCGCACCAATCCTCCCTCCAATGCCATGAGAAACTACCTGGTAGAATACGACGCAAAAACAGGGTTGCACACTCCTTGCCACGGCCATGCGAGATTCCACGCTCTTCTTTTTAAAAGACTCACACGCTATACATCGTATCGCTTGCGTTGCGTTGCGTTTAGGGCTAACATTCTCCCGTTCCCGTTCGTTGCTCTGCCTACCTGTACCAGCATCTGTTCTGGCATGTTTACATCCCCTCTCTTCAAACTCACAAACACAACAACAAGCGAGGAGACGCCGCCCGCTCCTTCCAATCACGTCAGGGCCCCCATCGCGCCCTGTCATTGCACTGCCACACTGCCACTGCCCAGCTCACGGCTAACGCTGCTTGTACCCGCATCCTGCTCCGCCGCTGACAGCTGCAACGCCTCCACAGTCGCTGTGGTGGTCGTTGTGGTCGTCGTTGCCGCCGCCGCAACACCAGCCGGAACAGGCGCGCTGGTTAGCACCGATGAACGCACAATCACATCATCCAGCCCACCCCCAGAACGCGTCGGCAGCGCCAGAACACTCACCGAAGCCCGCCGGAGCCTCGTTCGTGAGTACAGCGCACTCGTGTCTTCCAATCGCTCCAGCAGGAGCACACTGCCCTCCGTCACATGGTGCAGCGGGGAGCCCGGCGGCGGCTGCAGCGATATCCCCGCTGAGCTGCCAGCAACTGCACGCATCAACAACGACAGCCGCTCCCGGCTGTAACCCGATCCGTGCTCCATGCTCGCGGTCCCGCCAGCAGCAGCTGCTGCTGCCCCAACATGTTCAAGCCGCTCCGGGGACAGAGGGTGGCGGGAGGACAAGCGGCGAGGCGCGGACCACTCCCGCCCGCCCGCCCTGCCGCCCTCCATGCCTGGCGGCAACTGCCCGTCGCATGATGACATCAAGCCCATGCCTGCTCCGCTAGCACTGCCGTACCCATCGCGAGACGCGGAGCCTTGTAGCAGAACCGTTATGTTGGGGCCATGGAAAGAGCTGCTGTGCACGCTTGCGAGCGCGGAGTGCCGCCGGGAGCTGGCTCGGCTAGCGGGGCCCCGGCCGCTAGTGGGGCTCCCCGGCCCGTACGTTACATGTATGGAGGAGGTGACGGCACGTATGGATGCAGGTCGACCAGACAGTGCCGCCGCCGCATCTGAAAGATCCACCGGAAGGACGCTAGAAGTGGTGCCTGCGAGGCTGTGGGTGAGGCTTCTGCCGGCGGAGCAACGCGAGCTGCGGTGACTGCGGTGCTCGCTGCCTGGAACGCTGGGTGCGGTGCCCCCGCAGGTTCCGTTTGCAACGCGGGCGAGCAACTCAGTGGCCTCCGCTGCCGCTTGGGCGGCTCGGCTTACTGTCACGGCTGCGGCCGCCTCTGCCGCTTCCGCCTCCGCTACCTTGCGTGCTCGCTCGGAGGGCAGCTCGTCCTTGAACTGGCCCAGGTTGGCGCGGGGACCTGAGGGGGGGGGGGAGAGGTGCGGGTGCAGGGGGCGAGGACAGGAGGGAAGACAGCTCAAGAGGTACAGGGAATGCGGCGTAAGCTAACAGCGGGTGTCTACAGGGTGTCACGATGAAAGGCCACGGAAAAGGAGGTACCGGTATCAAGGGGATGCGGGGCCGCATGGGGTCCGCACTTGAGGTCAGCTTCAGCCGCAAACGAAAGCTGGCACACCGGTTGGCCGCTTACCAATGAACCACATTTGCGCACCGTACTTGGGAAAGTAGAACCTGCACACATGGAAATCAGGACAGGGTGTAAAATCACCTTTAATACTCGACCATTTGGGGACATAACTCGTTACTAAAAATACGCAGGGTCAGCCACAGGGTCGCCCCACAGGGCAGTACATCCAGCACCCATTCAAACACGCATTCAAAGCGTCGCATGCGGCCGTTGTGAGAAGGGACCTCCTTCATGCCAAGGACCCACTACATACCAGCCCAAGGAGCAAAGCAGCACAAAGCCGAGGATGGGCGCGGCCCAATTGAGGTTCACCACCGTGATAGGGTAGAATTGCGGGAGCAGGAAGAGAACCGTCATGGCTAGCACCCAGATGAGGGTTACGATGTTGTTGATGTACGACAGCCGAGGACCCAGGAAGAAGGGCCCGGGCAGGAAGAAGCGCCGACCCGTGGAGAGCCTGGGCCGGGAAGAGGTGTTTAAGGAGGGGGACAGTGGGAGGGGGCTGCGGTAAACAACATGGCGGACAGACGGACGGACGGCTCTCATGACAGCTTTGACTCTACAGCCGGACACATGCATGCTGAGAGATGTCAGGTGTGCACGTCAAAGTGACACCAATGAACGTTGGACGCCCCGGCCAGCCTCCAGAGGAAGAGTCAACGGCAAGCCGAAGCTTGGTAAACGTTGCTGGTGCAGTACACGCCCTGGGCCCTAGAGACCTAGAACTCCAGCAACCGCAGGAAGCTACCAACCTAACAAAGCAGCCCAGATGCCGTTACCCCACGACTTGCAAAGGTTGCGATCACTTACTTGCACATCACGGGCAGCGCGTACGCGAGGCAACACCCCACGACCGAGAAGGAGGCGATTGCCGGGACCTGCAGCATCCATCGGGGTTTCCAAAGGGCCGCAAGCAGAGACAAACCAAGGTATGCCGTTTCGGGATGTGTGGGTCTGTTCGCTGTTCAAGGCTGTACGGGACGCCGTACGAACGCCATGCGGTCGAGAAGTGACTCCGAAAGCAATGTACCCGGCGAAAGGTTCAATGCAGTACAAGAGCAAGACATTCTTCCACAGGGAGACCGCCGCCGCATGCTTACACAGGGCCATTTGCAGGGATCCCCGTGCGGGATTGCATGCCTTGCACCTTCCCATGTTTTTAGACAGGTATCGGTATCGGTAGGCAGGTATCGGCAGCGGCAGAGACGCATGTCGATAGGCTGCTCGCGAGTATCGGGAGAACAACGGAAGGGCACCTGTCCAACAGGTCGTGTTTCCCTGCTTACCACATAGAAGTTAAAGCACATGGGGGCCGCTAGCATGTTCGTTAGGACGAGCATGTACAACACTGCGTACACGGGCGCCTTGGTCCGGGGGTGCACCCTCTTTGCATAGCTGGCAAGAGGAACGCCGTCATCGCGCGCAAAGGCGTACAGCATCCTGTCAGGGAGGGAGAGAGAGCAGCATGCAGAGCGGCAAGCAAACTGTTTTTCACCCAGCTAGCTGTGCAATTGAACCCGCCTGCTTGCACGTCTTAATCGGCATTAAAGGACCATTATCCAGCATGCTTTGTGCAGCTCGTGTTGAATGTAGCCAGCAATGTCTTACGCAAGCGATCGCTGAAACGCAACCGCGCATGTGCAGTGCATGCTGTGCATGACGTGACGTCCGTTAAGGCTTCAGGTTAAAGGATTCCATTACTTGCACAGTTTGCCCTACAACACACCGTACCTTGAGTTGTTGGCGATGGCCTGCCGCGACAGCAGACGACAGACGTCAAGAGGTTCATAATAGCACACACATGGATGGAGAAGGGTAGGAGGTTCATAATAGCACATACATGGATGGAGAGGGGTAGGAGTCTAAGGGACAAAGAAAGAAACCCAAGAGACCGACATGCAAGCAGGCAGCGCTAGCGCTAGTGACAAGGGCTGATGTGTAATATCGCGTTCACGCTACATAAGTGAATGCTCCATTGTAGCATTGTGAGGACATCAAAGTAAGTGCCTGCACTAGCAAACCTTCCATTAAAAGCAAACCCCCTCTTTACGTACCTGATACGAGCAAAAGAACGCAGCGACGATGGGAATCGAAAACAGTGCCACACCACTGCTGACGCTGCCGTAGGTTTTCGTGACCTCGACAAGGATCTGTAGAACAATGTTGCTGCCATGTGTCTCATTGTTTGGGTCAAGCAACACCACCACGTCAACATGGACCGAGGCCAACGTCAGCAGAAAAGCGAACCCGGTGAGGCCCAAGCCGGAAATGGTGAGCATGATTGCCCGGGGGACATTTATCTCCGCATGAAAGGTTTCCTCTGCCAGATGTGCTGAAGCATCGTAACCTATGAGAGACCACCTGCGAATGGCGGCGGCCAAAAGAGGAAGAAAATGGTCGGCAAAGTGCGAAACCGCCAGCGCTGAGCGCGTTTGTTGCGGTTTTGCTACCATTTATCGTACGGCCTTTGCTGCGTTCCAGCATAGAAGGACTTTCACACGGCAAATGGATACTAAACGTCGCTGCTGCTAGCGTGCCTCAGTTTTTGGACAATCCGGTGCCGACGTACGGCACGCAAAATACGTGGTACGACAAGTGAAGCCCCTATATGGTCATTGCAAGCCCCCCCCCCAGCTCTTGGCAGTTTCCAAAGGCTTAAAGGGCAGTAGTGGGAAGAGGCAACACTCACTGCGACATCAGCAGCCCCACGAGGGTGGTGTAGATGGAGCTGGAGATGCCGGTGTATTCCGGGTACTGCTGCCATGCAGTGAATAGGTACTGCATAGGGGCGGGCGGGAGGGAGGGAGGGAGGAGAAACCAAAAAACACAAAAAGCCAAAAGGCCACAAGTGAGGGAAAACAGGGGCATGTCAGGAGGGCAGGCAGGCAGGATCTTCGGTGTGCGTTCACCCTACTCTGGATGGTTGTTTACAACTCCGTACGCAAGACAACACAGGCTTGTAAATGCACAAGGGATTGCAACGCGCAGGATGTGACGCAGCCGACATTGAAACGCATCGTAACGCGGGGGGCCTGTGCTAGCGGTACCTTGGCTGAGTGCTTTGCCGGGGCAATGAGTGGAACGCACAGGCAGAACGCCACGCTGCCCACAATATTCCACCTGAGGAAAAGAAAGGGCAGGTACGTACACTACTGATACTCAGTTGCCGTGAAGGCCGCTTCCAAAGCATGTGACCATGTGGGAAAAGTGCTTAAAAGTGCACGGCGTGAAATTTGTACGATGCATTAAGCAGGTTGTATATGTGCCCCATCTAACCGCATCACAGGACATGGGCGCACCCGTTTCTGGACTGGTATTATGCACAGCAGACCCATGGGCCAGTCCCGGATCCCGCCACGCGCCCACCCACATTGTCCCCAACGTGGTCATGAAGGCGGTGAGCCGAACCGGTCCGCAATTCAGGAGTCCGATGATGGCAGTTGTAACCAGGAGCAGGGCAAACACCTCTGGATTGGTGAGAGGAACGCCTGGGGAGGAGGGCACCAGGGGGCGCGGCGGCGGCGAGTTGATTGTCCGGTTTAACATGGAAAGGGTCGGTGATACCATACTTGAACCCTTAGCCAGCCAGCCGCAGCTATCGTTCCGTGCCCGCCTTTTAAGGGCCCTATGAAGCCAGGTGCAAGCCTAGACAGGCCTCACCGTAATGTACCTCAACCGCTGTTGCCAGCATGTGCACAAATGTGTAGAAGGATGACGCGCACAGGGACGCCTCCCCCAGCGTCAGGATCCACGCTGTCATCCAGCACGCCAGGTTTCGGAGCCGCGGCGGTGCCAGTTTGTACGACCAGTAGTACAGCGCACCGGAGGTCGGGTAGGCGGAGGCGAGTTCCTGGGAGGAAGGAGGACAGGGAAGGAAGGAAGGAAAGAAGACACAAGCGACCGGACAGGTCAAACAGAGGCCCGCAAGGCCCGAGGGTCGGCTTTCGGAGCTCGGAGGCAGGATTGTACGATCCCGTTGACACCGACCAAGCCGACTTGCAGGAACCCTTTCCCTGCATCTTCGATAGCCACCCTGCGCTTCGCCGGATCCGCAGAGGCCCGAGCGAAACGCAGAGGCCCCGGCGCTCAGCTGACCTCGTGTGCAGGCCATGCGCTGCCGTAGACGGAGCCTGCCTTCCAGCCCGCAGCTTCGTAGCGACTCATGCACCCCCTGCCCCGCGTACTCCCCCCACTCGCATCCCGCCCCGCCCACGCCCCCACAGCTCCCTCTCACCGCCATGCTCAGCCCCACGGATAGGTTGAAGAACAAGACGATCAGCCAGCCCCACCTGAAGACAGAGGGGCAGCAGCAGGAGGGAGAGGGGCAGCAGCAGGAGGGACGAGGGGCTTCGGGCCAGGAGTTGCTCGTCGACAGAGCAAGAATGCCAACCGTACATTGGCGACAAACAGCACAGCACTTAGGAACCCCCAACCACCACTCTTCAGAAGCGGCGGCTACACAAAACACTGCAACACACACCCAAAACTGCACAAGGATTGTTGCAAAGTGCCATTGCAAAAGGGGCCGCGATGTCTGCGGGAGGCGTCCTTTCCAACGGGTTTCGGCACAACACCCGCCGCCTGTTCCTCCTCCTTTCGTTCATCCCTATCCCTGGTGAGAGATGCATGCAACCAGTGGGCTGCCCCGACGCAGGTCAGCCAGCCACACTCACATCATGACGACAGGACCGCCGTACACGACGCCGATGACGTACCCGCCTGGGGGCGGGGAGGGGGGGGCAAGACGGCAACAATGGAGGGCGGGAACCTCGGCGTCGGCATGCTGCAAGCCGCGATAAGTGCTAGTACTAAGTGGAACGGTTAGTGCACTCAGTCAAGCCGCAGGGGTCAACATGCAGCAGCCATCTAACAAGCAATGCAATGCGGGAACCATTCACCTTTCCTCTCCGCTCAGCCACCCACCCCTCAGCCAGCCAGCCACCCGCACCCACCCAACCCCCACCTGTCAGACTGGTCAGGGTGCTCAGGAACGCAAAGTTGCAGCCAAAGGAGTTGAAGAGCGTAAACCTGGTTGGTTCGATTGGCGTCGGGCGGGAGGGGCGGCAAGGCATCATGAGCGCAGCGTTAGAGGTGGCCAGTTTCCATTACACACCTCACACACAGTGGGGGTCCCCGAGGCTGGGGCAGCAGTGTACGATGCAAGCGATGGACATCGGGCCCGTCATGCACCGGTGTTATGCTTGCATGCGTGTATTTGTTAATCAGCGCTTGCATGCAACAACGCCTTGGTGCGTTGTTAGGGGTGCATGCGAAGCACGCTGCCGCCCGGCTGCCAGCTGCCAGGCTGTCACCCGCGCTATAGACCCTGACAGCTTGCGTGCTTTGCGGCCTCTCGCTCTCGCTCTACTCACTCTCGCTCCAGTTCCTGCTTATAGCCCAGCATCAGCAGCTTTACGGTGTCGGTGTTGGCACGGGCCCGCCGCTTGGACGTCACCCGGGCGGGCGCGTGCGGCGGGGTGTGCTGTCGCCGAAGCGAACCTGCTCTTGCCTTCTCCTGGTCCAAGTTTCGGGTTTGGACAGACAGTTAGCACATGAAAGCGGCTGCTGCAAGGGCCACATCCCTCATTTGCGTGGCCGGGGAAAGGTCCGCGGCGTCTGGGGTGGGTGCTAGACAATGTCCAAGGGTTCCCAGCTTGGGGACGTAGGCTAAGCTAGTCACCATGCGTCCGAAGAGCTAGACAATGTCCAAGGGTTCCCAGCTTGGGGACGTAGGCTAAGCTAGTCACCATGCGTCCGAAGTTGATGTGAAACCGCCCGGCTCAAAAAGTGCGAATGGCAACACGGTTACATTCTTTGTCGACGTCATACGTGGAATAACCCATGACAGGCATGCCAGCGCTGTACATAACCTAGCGACATCAGTTTCAAAGCTAAAAACATGAATTCGGACGCACGACGAACATGGCGACCATGTCCAAATCGGAAACAAGCTAAGTTGAGGTACGCCGCCTGCGATAACGTACCATGAGCACCCAGCAAGGCCCAAGCGGGGGACCTTATGCTTTGTAGTTAGGCGGCTTCTTTTCGTTTCCTTCGCTTTTCTCCAAAGAAGCCCCGTCCCGGTGACGACTTTTTAACTGCGCTGGTCGCAGCGCTAAGAATGTAAAGAATATCGGGAAGGTTACCTATTCGCATAGCGGTATGCCTATACTTGCGTGATTTCCTACAAAAGGTACCCTCCCAAATCCCACGTAACCATAATATTATCCATCGGCGAAAAATACCTCATGTAAGCGTCTGTCTTCGACATATGGGTTCAATGTGGGCGGCTTTTCCTATGGCACTCGCGGGTTGGATCTGAGCTGGATTGAGTTTGGGATTACGTACTCGGATTCACCAGATGTGAACAGCACTGTTGGTGCTCACAGCTAGACGGACGCTTTTAAACAGATGCCTTCCTGATACGCAAGCGGGGCACGCAAGGACAGCTAAGCCTTGGGCCCAGCGTGGGCACGGGTTATGCAACAGCCAATGTTGGCCGATGTATCTCAAACTTCAACAACCCTACACAAGTCCCCACATAGGGCACAGAGGGCGAGTGGGAAGTGTCCCAAAAACAGATCCCCGCCTGCCTCTGCGTGTCTCGATAACGGATCCCGAATCAATACCGGTACACACAACTCGCCCTCCAACAACACTCAACCCCAACTCCTTCCCCCCGCCATGCACTCCTCCCTTCACCCTCAGCCTCCCCAGCCTCCCCAGCTTGCTAACAACCTGCTGCCCTTCAACTCCCTCCTCCACTGCTGCTGCTGCTGCCACCATGCAACCCCGAACCGAACCCCAAACCCTTCCTCACTCTCCATCTCTCTCTCAATCTCCAATCCTATCCATACTGTCATCCCCTTCACTTCCCTCCTTCCTCAACCTCATCCCATCCCATCTCCTCCTCCTCACGCCTTCACCTCCGCCGCCGCCCTCTCCGCCTCCTTCTTCGCTGGCTCCAGAAACGTGGCGCCCACCCAGCTCTTGAACCGCTCACAGGCCCCCGCCAGCCCCCCCTCCTCCGCACTATCTGCAATCACCTCGTCTCCATGCACCAGCCGAACTCGCATGCCCAGGTCGAAGGGCTGCCCGGGCGGGATGGCGGGACCGGCAGCAACCGCCGCCTTGTAGGCCTCCTCCTCCTCGCGCAGCTGTGTTGCACGGGGGCGGGGCCGGGGTAGAGGGTTTAGGAAAACGCTGCCAGCAATGCTTACCCCCACACACCCCCGGCTCAACTGATCTACCGCCCCGGCCCCCTTGCTCTATCCATTAATTCAGCCCGTTAAGATGACAACCCCATACACATTACCGACTGTCCAGTTATGCTGTCAACACATTCTTACCCGTTGTTACCCGTCCGTGCCCCCCTCCCCTCCCCCCCCCCACCACCACCCCAGCTCACCACCTCCTCCACCGGCCGTTGCAGCTCGTGTACCCAGTCGTCCGCAGCCAGCTGCCGCCCCGTCAGCTGCGACACAAGGTCCAGGAAGGGGGCGCCGTTGCCGGGGCGCCAATAGACCTCCGTTAGGTCCTGGGAGGGTGGGGGGGTGGGGGGGAGGAGGGGGAGAAATTAAGTGGGCAGGATACGTGTAGGGGAGGGCAGAGGTGGGTTTGTGGGATGGGGTAAAGAGGAAACAACGAACTGACTGAGGGATAAGGCGTCAACATGGGTTGCAACATGTGAGCCAGCCCGACCCGCCCAACGCGAAAGAGCGAAGCCAGTACGTGTAATGGGGGATGGGGGGTGGAGACATGGGTTGGCGCTGGAGGGAACTCATCAGTGGGGGAAGTGCATGCTGACCAGGGAGTAACAGCAAGGGGCAAATACACACACACACAACATGCCCTTCTCCTTAACACACACGCCGGCACACAGGCGAACACACACCACCCCTGCCGTACCTTGCCGATGCTGGGGTTGTCCACAATGTTGCCGTACTTGGATTTGAAGTGCGCACGTGACTGCCGTACTGCCATCTCCGCCAGCACTGAGGGGAGGGGAGAGCAGCAGCAGCAGGAGGTGGAGAGTGGGAGAAGGAGAGAGCAGCAGCAGCAGCAGCAGCAGCAGCGGTAGGCAGCACCCGCAGGCACGGCAGCAGCCGGGGTGTGAGGGTGGCGCCCCGGTGGTGGTGCGAGAGGGGTGCGCGGGAACGAAACAGGGCAGGGCAGAACTCCTCTAACGTCCTCTTTCTCCCTGCTTTTTGCGCCCCCATGTTCCCACCCCCTCCCCGACCCCGGCCCCCTTCACCTCCCCCCCTTACCGTATCCGTGGTAGTAGCAGGCTGACTCGTCGGACAGCGGGTGCGGCACACTCAGCAGCGGCCGGGGGCTCAGACCGCCCTGCGCGCGCGTGGGACAGCAGCAGCAGCAGCAGCGGCAGCGACAGCAGCGGCAGCGACAGCAGCGGCAGCGACAGCAGCGGCAGCGACAGCAGCGGCAGCGACAGCAGCGGCAGCGACAGCAGCGGCAGCGACAGCAGCGGCAGCGACAGCAGCAGCAGCAGTTGGGCGGGGCGGGGCGGGGCGGGGCGCGTCAAACCAGGGAGGGAATGAGGGTCAGTGAGGGCCAGCAAGGGTAAAGAGGAAACATCCGCAAAAACCCCTCATCCCCCCGCGGTGTTTCCGCGGCCCAGTTAACCTAATCCCCCGCTCACCATCCTCTCCCCCGCCTGTATACCCGTCAGTCCTCCTTGTCCCCCCCCACCTGAATGCGCGCCTCCACCTCATCCGCCAGCGCCAGCACCCGCTCCGTGCTCAGCTCCCCCTCCGGCAGCTCGTACAGCGCCTTCTCGAAGTAGCACACCGCCAGCATGCCCCGCAGCGCGAACACCTCGTAGGGCTGGCTGGCGGTCAGGCCGGCGGACAGCAGCGGCCAGGGCAGCACCTCGCCGGAGCGGCTGAGCGCGTACCTGCGGGGGGGGGGGGGGTCAAAGACCATACCAAACCATAGGAGACCACAAGTTAGGGCAAAGCAATGGGGGTAGGAGTTGGCAGGGTGCCTGGGGGGAGCGCGTACCTGCGGGGGGGGGGGCGGGAGGTGGGAGGGGGCAAAGAAGTTGGTGGATGGCGAGGAGCAGGGGGGGTGTCATGGGCAGATGGGGTGTGTTTTGCTAGACCCTTGCTGAGCTGGCACACATACCATTCCGGCACGCTGTGTGTGAAAACTCATTTATTGAATGTGTGCCACCCACCACCCACACCCACCCACACCCACCTGCCCAGCCACGCCGCGTCCTGCATGAGTGCGTCCAGGAACATGCTCTGCGTCTCCGCGTAGGCCACACTGGTGGGGGCGCGCTCCTGCGGGGGGGGCGGGGGTGCAGGGGTGTGCAGGGGTGGGTGGGTGCAGGGGTGGGTGGGTGCAGGAGCATGAGTAGGTAGGGAGCAGGAGGCGAGATGGGAACTGCGCAAAGGAGGACACAGAGCAAAGCCCACACACGCGCCACCCACCCGCCCACCCGCCCCCACCTTCCCACCTTTCCCCCCACCCAACAGCTCGTTAGTTGCATCTCATCTTTCTTATCCCCCCACCCCCACCCACCCCCGCACCTGGCCGAAGAAGGGGCTAGGCTGGTCGATGTTAGCAAAGTGCGCCGCGTGTCCGCCCTCGTGCAGCAGGGTGGCTAGGGCGGTGCGGCCGCTGCCCACCTGGCTGGGGGTGGCCAGGCTGGTGAAGTTGGCCTGGTGTCGGGAGGACGGAGGGGGGGGCGGGAGGGGCGGGCGAGAAGGAGGGAGGGAGGAAGGAAGGGAGCGAGAGGGGGGGTGCAAAGTGGAAAATCGAACCGTGTGACATGTAGGCTCTACCAGGATGGGTGATAGGGAGGGAGGGAGGGGCGATCGGGAAGGGGATTGCGGAGTAAGGTGACACTCCAACACCTCCCCCCCCCCTGCCCGCTCACATGTTGCAACCCATGTTGACGCCTTATCTCTCAGTCTGTTAGTTGTTTCCACTTTACCCTGCCCGCTCTGCCCCTCCCCTGCCCTCGCTGCCCGCCTACCTTCGCGGGCACGAAGGTTCCGTCGGGTTTGCGCCAGGCCACTTGCGGCCAGTGGCAGAAGCCGTTGGAGTACTTGCCGGGGCGGTCACATAGGTCCAGGGTCATGGTGGAGTCCTGGGGGGGGGCGGCGTTGAGGGGAGGGAGCGGGGGCGGGGAAGAAGCGGTGTGGCGGGGGAAAGCGTGAAAGCCGGTGAGGTGCGGTCACATGATCGCTCTGCGCCACCTCGAACCGCCGCGCTATGCACTTCTTCATGCGTGCTCTTAACCCAAGCCTTCCTCTTCTTCTTCTTCTTCTTTCATGCCCGCAGCCCCTCCCGTTAAACCCCCCCGTTAACCCGCAGCACCCCCCCGCTCCCTCCCCGCCCCCCCACCATATACTTGATGCCCAGCGCCGCAAAGGTCCTCGCCCACACGTCCACCGCCAGCTCGAAGGGGAAGTACGGGTCCTGCGCCTTCTCGGTGTCACCTGGCGGATGGGGTGGGAGGGGGATGCAGGTGGGAGATGGGTAGGATGGTGAGAGGTAACTGAACAACTGATCACACACGGACCGTAGCTCCAGTGGTGTGCCGCCACGCTACCTGCCAGCATGTGATGCAGCGAAACCAGCAAGGTGTCGGGCCTCCAACTGTAAGTCACATGGCTCATTCGCACTTCTTCCTCTTTGCCCCCCCCCCACACAAACCCGTCCTCCGCACCCCCCACTCCGCCCCCCCCCCCACCCCACCTGCCAGCGAGTAGCTCAGGTTGTGCGGCTCCAGCGCCGCCTCCCCCTTCTCCCGCGCCAGCCGCTCCCGGGCAGCGGCCATGATGGGGGCTGTTCGCGTCTCCAGGTCGTCCAGGATGGAGAACAGCCGCGACTTGCCGAAACCCTCCGCGGACGTGACCTGCGGGGGAATGGGTTAGGGTGGGTTGTTGGAGTTGGTTGTTGAATGGGTGGTTGGGTTGTTGCTAGGGTGAGAGCCGAGAGATCAGCAAGGGAATACACGCAACAAGAAGAAGCAAACGTGGTGGTAATGGCATTTTATACATAGAAGCGCAAGCGTTGTAAAATGTGCGAAAGATGTTCCGTGTGGTTGGTTGGCTGTGGGGAAAGAAACAGGGGGGCAGAGGATGGCAGAGGACCTTCCGTCTTCTCGTTACGTTACCGGTTTACGGTTTACTGGTTATAAGGTTACTGGTTATAAGGTTTACACCACAGGTGCAAACATACCTTGTAATCGTAAAAGTCCTCGAAGCCCAGCAGCTTTGCCAGGCGGTTGCGCTGCTTAACGATCTCAACGAACTTCTCCGCCACGAAGGGCCCGATGGAGCGCAGACCCTGAAGGGCGGGGAGGGGCGTTAGGGAGGGGAGGGATTAACAGGGACACATAATCCGCAGCAGGCTGGATTACAGGATTGCGCATAATTAGGGGGAAGGAGGAAGAAGAAGAAGAGGAGAAGCAGGCAGTGGGGATAAGAGAGAGAAGCGAAGGAGGTTGGAAAGGAGGTGGGAAACTTCCCCAGCTGAAACGGGGCACAGAGGAAGCCGAGGAGTGCATCAGACACACCCCCACCAGCCCAAGCTACAAGCAAGCCAGCAAGCAGGACAGCATCACACACCGCCCCCCCCCGCCCCCCTCAGTCAGTTAGTTGTTTCCTCTTTACCCCCCCCCCCCGCCCCAACCTGTGGCTTCCTATGGTTCGGTATGGTCTTTGACCCCCTCCCCCGCCCCCCTACCTCGTAGCACGCCTTGCGTGTGGCCTCCTGGTCGCTGACCCGCAGGCTGTTACGCAGCTGAACGGAGGAGGCGGGTCGGAAGGTGCCGCTGGCGGGGTCGGTGTAGCCCAGAGACATCTGGTTGCGGGCCTGCAGGGGGGTGGGGAGGCAGGGAGGGGGGGCAGGAGGGGAGGCAGGGAGAGGGGAAGGGAGGGAGGGAGAGGGAACAACGCTTAGACCCTCCCCGTAGTCATTGCATAGCTCATCAGAGTCATCACAGTCATCATAGGCAATGGTGTGGCTCTTTACCATCCCCCACCCCCCAACATTGGGTACCGTCTTCCTACCCCCACCCTCACCTGCGCCAGCTCCGCCTCCATGCTATTGATCTTCTCCTTCAGCTCCGCAGCCTGCAGGGGGAGAGGAGTGAGGGGAGAAGTGAGAGGAGGGGGGGGGTAGGAGGGAGCCCAATCCTGGCCTTTCCCGTGTACCCATGTGCAAAGCCGCTCCTCCTTCCTCATCCTTGAACCCTGATCCCTCTTCTCCCTGCCCTGGAGCCCCCCACCGACCCGTGGGTCCTCCGTGATGTAGCACCCGAAGGTCCGCTCCATGATGCGCAACACGCGGGCCTGCTCCTCCGCACTCAGCTCGCCGCTGCTGCTGCTGTTGCTTCCGCTGTCAGCAGCCTCCTTCGCCCCTGCTGCTGCCGCCGCCTCCCCGGCTGCCGGTACGGCGGCTGCTGCTTCCCCAGCTGCTCCGGGTGCTGCAGTGGCTGCTGCCAGTGCTGCCCGCACCGCGGCCAGGTGGGCGGGGTCGCCCAGGAAGGCCTCGTAGGCGGTCTTGGTGGAGGCCAGGGCGTCGGAGCTGGCGCCCTGGGGGAGGGGTGAAGGTGAGGGGGAAGGGGAGGCGATGGAGGGCGAGTCAAGTGGGCCTAGCAGGCAGTGGTCAGCTGGGAGCTAGCGCGCCTAGGTAAGGGAGTCGTGATTGGAGGAGGAGGAGGAGGAAGCAGGCTGGCTGAATGGCAGGGAGACGGGAAGGGGGAAGCGGAGTCGTGTTGGAACCGTCGGGATGGAACCAACCTTGAGTGCCATTTTGGTCGCCCAGAAGTTTTCCTCATAGGCGACATGAACCTGTGAAAGGATGGCGTTGAAGCGCGGCGACAGGAAGCAGGGAGGCGAAAGCGGAAAGTTAAGCAGACGCGTCGAGCAGGATTGGGTGCTCGCCCGGCAGAGCAGCTGATCAACTTGCGTAGCGAATTATTCTTACCTTCTCATACTCTGCGTTCAGCCTGTCGATCAGCTCCTGTGCTTTCTGTGGAGTCGCGACCGCCATCCTGCTAGGACCGTAATGACAATAACCAGTGAACAAGGATTACGAGAGCTGATTGATGAAGTTTTACTTAAATGTACTTAATCTTACTTGTTAGGTGCGACGCTTGTCGCGACACCCGCCAAACCACGGACACTACGCGATCCCTGTAACCAAGCCCGAGCCGTTCGGCGCGCAAGGATGGTCTTGGAGTACATCGAAGGATGAGCGCAGATGATGGCGACAGCGAGGGCGAGGATCGCGAAAATGGCGAACCGCCCCATTGTACGGCGAGCTCTGGGAAACGAAGCCGTTACGGACCAAGGTAAATCGTCATACAATGCGGAAGGCGACCGTTAAGAAATTGCAAATAGATCTTGCCAGCGTTGGTGCTGGAGGTGCATGGTCTTAATGGTCGCTAACGGTTCGTCGAGCAGCAGTGCGAGTAAAAGGCCTTAAGCTTGATGCCGAGCCGGCTTCCATTCACCATGCGTTGAACCTCAATTTCGCTGATGGAGCTTTTACTTCGGGATTCCGCTTTTGTCGTCAGCAATGCTTGCTTGCTGTTACTACCGTACGGCCTTGCAGCAAGCAGGCGTTCCGATAGCCTTCCTAGGCTCAGATGGAAAGAGTGGTGACACTGGAGCATAGATTAAAGACTTTTAATCGGGTTAAAGGCTGTCGTACGACGGTCACGAACCGTCACCGACACTCCAGCGGCGGCAAAGCAACACGTAGCAACTGGCTGCCAGATACCACACCGTGCATGACGTAGTCAAACGGCCTTGCCGCTGAGGTGGATTTCCGGTGCAGGGTAATCCGCCCATGTCCTAGCGGCAGCGGAAAGGCCAAGGGGAGCTTGGCGGTGACTTGGTACAATGAAGGCCGTCTCCAGGCGACCCGTCCGGGAACACAAAAGCAATATGCGTGAACCATGCACCGATACTCTGGTTATGCATCTTTCTCGGGTTTGCCGGCTAGGCAAGGGACAACGAGCGACCCTAGGCTGCAACCGCAGAGGAAGATGTGGGGTTACCATATGCTAACAAGGTTGGATGTTGAGCAATATAACTGCATTGAGTAGCAGCTCATGCAAGCTGTTTGCTGATCCCGTATATAATTGGGGTATCCAAGGCTCAACACCCAACGGTATCCATGCATGCATGGTTCCACCGGAAGTGGAGCGCAAACACTCCGCTCGTATACCTGTGCATGCACAGTACTTCCTCGCGACATACATAGCGTCCCTTGCCTTGTTACCCTCATGCTAATTGCGGTAGTCAACAACACGTACATTAGAAACAACAAATTTACTATGCTGCCGTTTGCTGCGCTGCTTGCCCTTCCCAACTAGTGCACCTTTTGAACTCAAACTGACTTATTAATAATTTTGCAACGACACGTGAAAGCTTGCGTTTGTGCAGAAAAGCAACTGCCTTTAGCTCCGCTTTTGGACTGTAACATGCTGCCTAATAGACTTCTTAGGTTGAAGCAGATGAATCTTATGCCCATATAAGCACACGGGCTGGTCTTTGCGTTTGTATTCCCGGACGAGGAAATGGGGCCGGGCCGCAGCCTCCTGGGGCTGCCGGCTGGTTTCAACTGGTTTCTTATCTTAGTTACAGTCATTATAACATTTGTGGTGCTCGCCGGATGCATTTATCTACTAGTGGAGTACCAGCATCCTGAGGACCGGAACCAAGCATGGATCCCCAAAATTATTGTCGTCTTCTCCATGTCCCTGGCTATCTGGACGGTACTGATGTTTCCACTGGATGTGGCGAACACACAAGCGTGTTCCGCCAGCATATCGCCCAGTGCGTGTAAATACACGTTGCCGATGACACAGCTCTGGTACGCTGTCTTCATCGCCAACCTCGTCCTCGTCTTTGTCATCCTCCCCTTCACTCTGTTCATGTATGAAGCAGACAGCGACTAGTAAGTTGGGAGCAAGTGAGCAGGGGAGCCTCCCGCCTGGGCAATTGTGCCTAGAGAGAGGGGGAACGCTGCCGGCTTAAGTGACACGTACTTCATGCTGCCCGCCCGCGTAATTGCCCTCACTTCACTCCATTTGACTACGAACAATGACCCACATGCCTGGTGCCAATACCATCGCCCGCCTTCTCCAACTCCTCTCATCCTTTCCCATTTTCTCGAACCTTCCCCCAGCACCTGCTGCCAGAAGGTGAAGGGGGCGCTCTTGTGGACGGCGGGCTTCCTCATCTTCATCCTCCTTATCATAGTGATCATGTATCGTAAGTCCTCCCCTGCCATGACTCACGGGGCATGTCCCGTGCCTGGGCTGTGCTGGAAGTCGGGCTGGGAAGGTCAAGGGTCACCGCATGCGCACGTGATGAGCACGGCACCACCACCACGGCCGTGCATAGTGGGGTGCTAGGGGGCGTTCAATAATGCCATGACGCGTCTAACAGCGGTTAAAGAAGCTCGGGAGGTGTGGCTGCTGGACTCGCTGCACACCTACCGTTTGATGTGGGTCGGCTCGGAAAGCACACGTCTGGTACCCTTCCATGTGTATCCCGTGTACCCTGCCAACATGGAGCAACGACGGTTGCGGCATCCGGTCCAACTGGACCTTCTACCCTCTTCCACCTTCCTGTCTTAACCCCTCTCCCTTTTCCCTCTCCCTTACTGCCACCACCACCACCACCACCACCACCACCGCAGTGTTGATAGGCTACGTGGTGTACCCCACGCAGCAGCTCACCTCGGGGGTGCGCAGCATGAACATCCTCACCAACCTGACACAGGTCAACACCACCTGCATCAAGCCGCTCACCTCCAGCACCAACAATGCCACCGCCGTGGCGGATTTTCAGGTGCGGTGCGACGCGACGGTTGGCGGGTGAGGGGAGTCTACGGATAGCACTGCAGCATGGAGGATGGAGACCCATTCCGTTCCGCCGCCCAATGTTGCCGCTCACGTTCATCCTAAGGATTTCGCACCACCCCTGCACCCCAACCCCATTCCGCCACCGCAGTGCAGCGCCTTCTCCAGTACCTTCAAGGCCGGCAGCTGGAAGCTGCGCGTGTCACTCCCCGTCTACATCATGGCCATCCAGTCGGTGCTAGGCTGGCTGCTGTTCCTGGTGTTTGCGGGCGTGGGGCTGTTTGCCACGCCCATCGACTGGCTGCAGCAGTTCCTGGGCAGGCCGCGAGCGGTTATCACAAAGTCGGAGTACATGCGGAGAGCGCAGATCATTGCGCAGCGCGCCAAGCAGATTGCGGTGAGTACAAGGGGTGTGTGCAAGGGGTGCTGGGTGCGGCGGGTGGCATGCCTGACACGGGACATACCGTATAGGGACGGGCATGATGGGCACGATGTCCCATTATGCGCCTCCATGTGCGCTAACCATGTTGATCTCCCCATGGCGCCTGATGTCGCTGGAGCGGTTGAGATGGGATCCATTGCCCGCATAACCCACATCGCCACAGGGCCATGTTATTGCATGCTCCCCACCACCGCCACCACCCCACCTCACCTAACCCGGTCCACGTGCCTGCATGCTTGTCTGCCTGCATGCATGTGCGTCTGCGCGCCCCTTGTCCCCCACAGAACATGCTAAACATGCTGCGGCGGGGCGACCGCGACCGGCGGTGGCGCAGCAACTTCCAAAAGCTTCAGCGTGAGGTGGCGCTGCTGGAGGACGACGAGTACCAGCTGGAGAGGGTGTTTCCGCAGGTGGGTGGGTGGGCGGTTGTGTGTGTTGTTAACTGGCTGCGAGAGGGGGCCGGGGGTGGTGGTGGTAAAGTGTGTCTTGGGTTGCCATTCGGAGCGGGCTGTGATTGTTGTCTTAGTGGGGGAGGCGGGGAGGCGGTGGACAGAGAGGAGGGCAGGGCGCGCAGAGGAACACCGGGCACCACACCCTCCCGCGCCACACCTATCTTCCCCGCCTTCACCCACGCCCTCCTCTCCCGCCCGCAGGGCGAGGACGGCGAGGTCCGCTGGGTGCTCTTCATGCTCGGCTTCTACGTCCTAGGTTTCATGTCCTTCGCGGGCTTCTGCCTCTCCATCGCCTGGGTGGCCCACATCATCGCCTACATGCTGCCCCCCACGCCGCTGCACCCGCTGCTCAACGACATGTTTACGGCACTGGACAGCGTGTTTCCGCTGTTTGGCGTTGCGGCCTTTGCGGCGTTCTGCCTGTACCTCATGAGTGTGGCCATGAAGGGCAACTTCCTGATGGGTCTGAACTTCCTGATCATCAAGCTCTACCCCATGCGCCCCGGTGCGACCATGATGTCGTCCTTCCTGGTTAACACGGCGCTCATTCTGGTGATGTCACCCGCCATCGTGCAGTTCTGCGCGCAGGTACGGCAGGTTGGGGTGTTAAGAATATTATCCAGTTTTGGGGGGGGGATCTTTGGGGGAGCAGGCTTGGTGGGGATGTGGGATGGGAAGTGTGTGGTGGTTGCAGGGTTGGGGAGGCCATTCTGTTGTTCGCCTGCTGCCCTCTATGTTACTATGTACCATTGTTATAGTCGCCGTGCGAAACAAGCTGCAATGCCGTATCCGCCGCACGCCGTCACACACACCGGTGCATCTCAAGTTTTCAACCCCATGCCGCTTCCCTCCCCTGTGCTGTACTGCCCTGTGCTGCACTGTTGCCCCGCAGGCCTTCGCCGTTTACGCCAACGGTACCTCCATCTTTGACGTGTTCGGCAACCAGGTGATGTACCTCATTGGCCTCAAGTACATCTACAACTTCAACATATTCCTGTACGCCATGCTGGCCATTGTCGTACTGTCGTCCATTTTCCTGGCCCTCCGAGGCAAGCGGGTGTGGAAGCGGCGGGACCCCATGGAGGCGTATTCCATGATTGATTGATGGGGCAGGAGCGTGTGTGTTAAGAAAACTGGCCGCGAGCGTGTGTGTGGGGGGGGGTTAGTTAGGGGTTGGTTGGTGGCTGACTGGTGACGGTTAACAGCTATAACGGTATCAAGTCTACAATTGTGACGGTAAAGTGTGACGGTGCGAGTCAGGACAAGGGATGATGAAAGGTCGGTAGAAAGTCGTGGACGCTGCAGAGGACGCTACCCGGGTAGTAGGCTGATTCTTCTTATCTTGTCTGTTATACAAGTGATTAAGACGGAATTAACTCTTGGCGCTATGGAAACAGTGCAAGTTGGAAGCGCCTCTTCTTAGAAGCGCAACAAAATATAGCATCTTGTCTGTATGGGAGAACTGTTAAGACCCCTGACCCTACTGTTCGTGACCCATGAATCAATGCGATGACGTGCGGCCGCGTGGGCTCGCGAGTACCTGGTTGTGCTCTGGGGTGGCGGGAGGATGTGTGGTGGGTTGCTCAAGTGGTGTGGCGTTTCCCGGCACTGCGTAGGATTGAATGCAAGAGGCAAAGGCCTCCGTTGAAGCCTGTTAGGCGCTTGATTGCGGAGAATAATGCGGTGGGTAAGCGATGGCTGCCAAAGCAGGTGCTTCAGCGGTTGGGGAGTTAGGGGTGTCGCGGTGGCATGCATCTTTTAACGAACGAGGATTAAGTCGCTGTTCGATGTGAAGTAACGTAGAAACTGAGAGGGTGAGCAGGGGAGAGACGGAGTGTACGTGACACATGGGCATGCCTGGCTGCAGAAAGGGCGGGTGGTTAACGAGGAACCAACTATGATGACTGTGGGCTGCGTGTGAGGCGCTTGCATTGGAGTGACCTTCCTGCTTAGGATTGATCCACGCTTAGATGTGACTCCATGTCCAGACTTTTCAGTGCTTGGGGTTGACGAAGCAGGACAGCCGTACAGCAGTGTAGTACAAGACATCCAACTAGTGTCTGGAGTCGTGAAGTGCCAGTATGAGTTACTTTATGAGCATGAAGTATACACGGAAGCGTATACTCATGCCCAGGATCGCCCGGCTGTTCCATTGCTGCTGAGGTTAAACCTTGTAACGCTCAGGTTAGGGGTGTAGTTGAACCAAGGGGCGGTGCTAAGATGGCGTTCAAGCGAAACAAGACGAGCCGATCTCCAGGAGGAGTGCTTTAGGGCCATCCTGCACGCTGGGCATGATAGGAACGAAGTGCGTATACACAGAAATCCCAGATGCTCCGGGACCTCCGAAACCATGCTTTGTGCGATTTTGCCTTGGTATCCGTTTGTCAAGCCCTATCCGTGATCAATTAAAGCGGCAAGATACATGTAATTCGCACCTTAATCGCATCTGCGTGGGCGTACTAAGCGAACATTGAGCTGGTGCAAGAAGAGCTACTCACCGGAAATCTGCGCCGACGAATTGCAATATATTATAATTACTTACATATTAACATGCGGTCGTGAGACCTGGCTGCGAAGCGAGTGGCTGACCCATATTGCTTTGCTTACTCGAACTAGACGGTCGACAGCGCCTAAGGGCCATGTCCCTACTTTTACAGCATCGCTATCACGGATTGCCGACGTCCAGACATGTGGTGTCCGCCGAAGGTGCGCCTTTCCGCTTGAGGCCGGTCGTCGTCCGTTCCCCGACCTCGCATTCCAGCCTACGCTCCTTACCGGACGGCGCACAAGCTGTCAGCGCGGTTCAGCAGCAGGAGCAACAGAATCGGGACCAACATCTTCCCGAATCGTCGTCGTCGCTGTCAGCACCTCACAGCGAGGAAGCCATCCATGAGGATGCCTGTCGACCCGGCACCAGCACGTCAGCGATCACCCACCAAACCCGTCATTCCTCAGGATCCCCTGATTCTTCCTCCATCCCCTCACTTCTTCCACCTGCTGAAAATCCATCTCCATCCTCCTCAACCACGTCAACACCGACGGGCAGCAACGCTTCCTCCTCACCCTCTCCCTCTTCATCCCCAAACTCTTCTTCCACCGCTTCCGGCCAGCCGCAGTTTAAACCACGCAACGCTCGATACCCAGGGGTGTCCTACAACCGCAACAAGCCCCAACACCAGCATCAACACCAGCAACACAGCAACAAGTACGGACAACAACATCAGCCGTACAACCAGTACAGCAACCGTACGGACGGCCCCAGCACAAGCGGATCCCGTACCTCCTGGCCCGCAGCAGCTGCCTCGTCCTCCTCCTCCCCGCAGCAGCAGCAACAGCAGCTGTCTCCTCCGCCCTATGCTCGTGCAATGGCCTACCTGCCCCGCACGCTGTTGCAGCTGCAATTCCAGCAGCAGCCGCTGCGCCAGCGGCCCGCGTTCCTGGAGGCCTATCCGGTGCCTCCGGGCAAGAATTACAACATCAATTCCTTCCTGGGAAAGCGTGACCTGCACGGCGGTCAGTACTTGGTACCGCAATCCGCGTATCAGAGCTTTGTGGAGAGCTATTTCGAAGCCCTGCAAGAAGGCTATCAGCTCTTCCTAACCGAAAACTACCACCAACAAGTTTACAAATATTTCGTGGAACTGGATTGGGATTGGGACACGGATTTGGATCTAGTGATGGAAGTCACGCCCAAGCTGATGCAGCTTGTCGCTCAAGTCGCTGGCGACTTCTATAAATACAAGTACCCGAGCTCGGTTACCTCCATCCGAACGCCTTATCGCATCCACCTAAACTATCCCAAGCTAATCACGACCGAGCTCCTAGCCCACCTATGTCGCGATCGCATCCTGGAGGCCTGTCGTACACAGCTCTCGCAGTACTCGGTCGACTGGGAGCGACTGATCGACTTCCCGCACGGGAGCTTGCGACTCATGGGCTCCCGAAAGGGACATTACATGGACAGCGACCCAGCCTGGGTGCTGGAAAAGTCCTACTACCCAGCAAAGCTGATGGATGATGGGAAATGGCACCCCGGGCGGTTAACGACGCAGCTGTTGATGGCTGCGAGCATCTTCCCGGGGCCGCAGCAGGTGGCGGAATTCGAGCGGTCGTCGGCATACCTGGATGTCGTGTTTGGGGACATGGCGTAAGTGGGAGAGGGATGGAGGGAGACGAGGGAGGGGTGGAGAGGAGAGGCAGGGAATAGGGCGAGAGGGGAGGGTCAGAGGGACTTGGGGGGTACGGTAATGGAGGAGCAAGGGAGTGGCTGGGGTGATGGTGGTCTGCTTCGTAGCTGGCGTCGAATTGCTGCAGGTGATTGCTCACAACTCGCTTGGCTTGCATGCGCAGTCACCGTCACACTGAATGGGCTTCACACTGTTGGCACCACCAACCGTCGTATCCATTGCCATCACCACCAACCTATTCCCTTTTGTCCCATGTAATTTTTTATCCAACCCATGCAGGGCTTACAAGAAGAAGATTGAGGAGCGGCAGCTGCGGCGACAGCAGCAGCAGTCCTCCTCCTCCTCCTCCGCAGCAGCACCACCAGTCAGCGGCTCTTCGGGGGTGCTGCCGCAGCTTCCCCCGGGCAGCTCCAAGTACCCGCTGTACGTGAAGCTGCAGGTGCAACCAGACGAGACGGTGGGTGGTGCTGCTGCTGGGGGCTGGGGGGCTGCTGCTGGGGGTTCGGGCGGGTTGCTTGCTTGCTTGGTTGGAGCCGAATGTTAGCGGAAGGGATTGCAACGTGAGGAGAACGCTGCATATGCCGCGACCGACAATGGAAGACTCCGCATGTCACTCTGCATAGGACTGGGTACAAAAACATGTAGAAAACAACAAGAAGAGTACTGCGGTCTTGTGTTGTGCACTCCGCAGGTGTCCCTCAACATCCACGTCAAATCGAGGTTCCGGACCAAGAACAAGCAGGCCTTCGTTGATGGCGGGCAGGTGGCGAGTCAGCAGCAGCTTCAGCAGCAGCAGGGCCCTCCGTTCAGCCAGCCGCTGTCAACCATCGAAACGCCCTCCGTCGAGGGAACCCCAGAGCAGCAGCAGCAGCAGGAGCAGCAGCGGCTTCCCGCAGCGGGCTCCTGCTGCGAGCAGCCGGCTCCGGAGCAGGAGACAGCCGCGGAGCCAGCACGGCACCATGTTGGGGTGGTTTCGGGGCTAGGCGAAACCCCCACTGGGGTGTTGCTGCCTGAGACGCTACCAGTGCCTGCAGAGCCGGCCTCAACGGCAACAGCAGCAGCAGCCTTGGAGGCAACTCCTGCAGGCGTAACCGCGGCGGGAGCATCCGCAACGGCCGCTGAAGCAGCACCGGCAGCACCGGCAGCACCGGCAGGGGCAGCTTCACAGCAACCGTTGTCGACTGGCGGCTGCTGCTGCCCGTCGGATGCACCGCAGCTTCCACCGCATGGGGGCGCACCCGCAGCCGCAGCCTCCCAGTGCTCTAGCAGCGCCGACGACGCCGTGCTTCAGCAGCAGCAGCAGCAGACACAGACGCAAAGTGAAGCTGCGCCGGCCGGGCAATCACCATCAATACACCCAACATGACACCTCCACCAGCAAACAGGTTACCAGCGAGCAAAGCGTGGAGGTGGTTCCGGAGCGGCCTTTGCTATCATAGCGAGGAGTCTGACGGTGGGCGAGGGTTTTCGAGCCTGGGGGATGAGAGTAAGAGTGAGACGGTGGTTGGGAGTGAATGGATGGATAGGGAGTGTTGGGCAGCCGTGTTCGCTTCGGAGTGTGTAGCTGGAAGGGCTGTTGTGACTCGCTTGGGGCTTGGCTATGTGTATATTAGTAGGCTAAGAGCCTTGTTGCCCCTGTGCAGTACCGGAGGCACCGGAGGCGGTTGGTGATGTGCTGGGATGTGGGTCAACTGCGAGTGTAAGCAGTGAGAGTTGGCTATAGGATGCTGGAGGATGCTGAAGGCTGTATGCTTACTGCAGCAGACCATGTTATTGACGCACGCTAGTAGACGCGGCATGCAAGGATAGGTTGTCACACAGGGCAGGTGTGCCGTCATTTACCATGGTTAAGGCTGGGTGGGATTCGCTTGGTCCCCACGGCGAGCGAGAGGATGCTTGGGAACACAGGGTTTCCTGGAGCTCTCCTGAAGTGCTCTTATCTGTCAAAGGACCAGTAGCCAGTATACGGTAACCCCACGTACTGCCTGGCTGGCGTGCATGCAGGTAGAGGTACCTACCGGGGCGAGTAGTGCCCTGTGGGCGTGTTGGTGTAACATAGGTCCCCAAAGGCCTGTCGAGGCGTCGTTAGGTTTTCCTTCAGGACTATAGTTAGTAACGTTGGGGTTGATGCCTTGCTTGTGTCGCAAACCGCCCTACATAGCCCCTGGTGTCCGGGCATATGCTGTAATGCAACGGGATGATGCATCGCATTGGCCATGGTAACCCGTATAAACGCCACACCAGCGAATCGCACGTGGCACGCAATCGTCACCGCTGTAATGCCATCAAGCCTAGATTGCGGTGTTCCCTAGTTTGCCATCGTCGGAACAATATAGCTTAGGAGCCTCCCATGCTGCCGAACAACATAATAAGCCCCCATAAAACCATGCACAAGCCCCCAGCCACTACCACACACTGCACGCCAAACACACCCGCTAAACACAACACGCACTTCAACGCACACAACCCTGGACTAGCACCCCTCACAGCCCCTTCAACTCCGCCTCATTAAAAATCAGGAATCCGCCCGACTCGCGGTTCCTCTTATAGCACTCCCTGTCCCCCTCCTCGCACGCCTCACAATCCTTGCACGCCAGCCGGCAGCTGCCCTGCCCCACGTTGCCGCCCTTCATGTAGCCGGGGTTGTGGGTGCACTCTCCGGACTTAGCCCATGTGTCACACATCTCGTGCAGGTTGGCGCACACCCCGGGGTCGGGCAGCGGCTGGAAGGGTTCCTTGAGAGCCCGCTGGTACTCATCCTCTGCGCGCGGAATGACGGAATGAGGCGGTGGGTTAGATACTGGTAAACGGAGCTGCGAGGACATTCCGTCAGAGGAGGAACGGGAGAGGAAACCGGGAGCCCCTTTCCCCTACCCCACCAACCACCCCTGCCCCGCACTCCCAATCCCCTACCTCGGAACGGCACGCCGTGGATCCACTTGACCGCATTCCACTTCACCCCCGCCACCACCGGACACCCCGTGTGCATGGAGTGCCCGTCGCCATTCATGTAGTCGGGCTTGGTGTCGAAGAACATCAGCGCGTCCCCCCGCTTGGGGCGGTAGGCCACGTGGCCCCGGGCGCACTCGGAGAAGTTGCCCTCCCGATCCGCACGCGCTGCGAGCTCGGGGTGACTCCACTCGCTGCAGAGAGGTAGGGGTGGGAGGTTAGGAGTTGGGGCAGGGAGGAGGGCAGGGGAGAGCGAGAATGGGAGCACTCATCCGTTGCACAGCCCAAATGAAGCCGGACTGGGTGCCACATGCGTAGAGCGGTTTGAGAACCTAAGCTAATCGAAGCTGGGAGCCCGTCGTTCCGCCTCACCTGCTGAGAAAGGCGGTCTCGCCTCCGAAATCCGGTTCTGCAAAAGCACACGATGAAAAGCGCAGGTCTTTAAATACCAGGCGCAGCACGGCACGCACCATCAAGCGAGGCAGCTTGGCCCTCGCGAGGCCAAGGTGCTTGTTCCCCACCCACTCACGCCCTCGCCGCCCGCCCCCCCCCCCTCACGCACCTACGAGGTACATCAGCACGGTGGCCACCCGCTCCAGTCCGTCCATGTGCGCGCCGTACTTGTTGGTGGGGCCGTACCGCAACACCTGGGGGCCCGGAGGGGGGAGGGGGAAAGAAGAATTGTGTCTATTGATAATGGTGGGGTGGCAGGAGGGTGCGGGGATGTTGCTGGTAACTGTACCCCACGTGCTACCGGTACCCTACTTGTGCGGATTCACTCTTGCGCGCTTTACTACGGGGATTACTGCTCCTGCTACTGGCATGTGTGGTGCTTGCTATCCGGCTGATTATTCCCTGCTTGGCCCTGCACCTCCCTGCCTGCCCCTGCACCTCCTCAACCCCTTCCCGCATGCCTGCCCCTGCACCTCCGTGCCTGCCCCCACCTGCCTGCCCTGCACCTCCCTGCCTGCCCCCACCTGCATGTCCTCCTGGTAGGAGGGCGGCAGCTGCGTCCAGATGGCGAGGCGCTGCTCGATGGCAGCAATCACCGGGTCCTGATTGCGTCTGTGATTCAGTAAGGATGCATGGATGGGCGGGTGGTAGGGTTGTGTGGGAGGGTTGCAGCTTTAACATAAGGCACTGTCAGGAAACAGCCCCCGCAGCGGCCCTACCTCAGGAAAGTTCCGTACGAGGTGCGGATCTCGTCCACAACACCCTCGTTCTTGTTGCCCACAACCGTCGAGCGTTTCATCTGCGGGATGGTGGGGGGATGCCACGTCATGCGGCGCGCATGCATGTTGCACGTGTGACATGCGTTGGTGGTTGGTTGGTTGGTTGCAACAGCTGGGGGTGTCACATGGTGCGCCTGTTGAAGGTGCGGCTACCCTGCAAACGTCCCAGGTGCCTTACACGCAACAACCGCACAGGTATTTTACTGTGGGCATACCGGTAAGCGCACGGTTATACCCACCCACCTGGGCGTGAGCGAGGTCGATGATGTGCCGCGCCTCCTGGTCACTCAGGAACTGCGGGCGGAGGGAGTGGAGGGAGTTGGGGTCGGTTTGGGTGGGATAGGGGACAATGCGGCCGGCTGTGGGTCCATGTAAATGCTGCAAGAAAGGCGCACATAACGAAGGAGGATATATGAGAAGGAGGATATGGCGGGCAACGGCAGCAATACAGTAACAAGGACCTTTCCAGTGGCAATATATAGAGAGGCAGGTGCTCCGCATCATGCGGCTTACGTTATGGTACACAAAGGCCCGAGGTTTCCAGCTGATGGTCTGGATCCTGCGAGATGTGTGGGGTTGGTGGGTGGGAAGGGGTTTGGCCAAATGGACAGGGCAGTCAGGGAAATACAGGCTCATTTCGCAAAGCTGGCACCCTGGTTGCTTGATATACGCCCTGGCACTAGTTTTCAGCTTGTGGCATGCCGTGTTATTGTGTGCGTCGCCTTTCAGGGATTCGTAACCCACCATCCTGGCCGGACTGTCGTGTTCGCCGAGTAAAGCGAGGCACCATATCCCCCGTTGCCCGAATCTTTGCTGTAAGGGCTCGCTTGCTCGCCTTGCCACCCAATCAGCTTCTCCTCTTGATTATGTGCGCCTAAGGAAGTTGGGAAAGTGTTGAGTGTAAGCGTGGCAGCAAACGTACTGAGACCGTAATGTAAAGACTGCTTCATAAAGATTGCACCAAGCATGTACGTCCCAGATACTCCAGGTGCATCGATATACGATGCTCACCATTTGCGGGGAACCAGAGCACCGCAGAAAGGGCCAGGAGCAGCAACGATACCCCCATTGTTAGGAACCTATACAACCAGCTAATGTCTCACTTTGCAAGGGCTAGCATGCTTTACTGTAAATAGTCACGCTATTTAGTGCACCACTCTTACAAGGCTGGCTTTCTAACTGGTGGTATAAGTATTAGATATGCTATAGATATACATGGTATAGTATAAACAAGGAATGCCCCATCCAAAACTGTCGTGCTACTGCGGAGCTTTGTTCGTACAACACCATGGTGGGAGCTAGAGTCGACATGCCGAGCGAAGCTCCACGAACACGCATGCCTTACACAGGATGGACGCCGTTGGGGTACAGGAATGCCGGGAAACACGGGGGAGAGGCCTGTCTGCTTCTGGCGTATGAGGTTTGGGTGGCTGAAGTCCCCTTCAATGGGTCTCGGTTTGCAGCTTATCTCAACGTGACCTGAGGCCCTTGGTGCGCATAAGGGGAGACGCATACTGCATGTTCAAGCCAAAACAACCTCAGCGGCATGCAGCCGTACCGAGTCTCCCATGCAGTTAATTACCGTGATTCGGTACAAGATGGATGTCATGGTCTTGACAGTCTTCAAAACTGGGTAAATTGCGAGGCTTCACACCCTCCGCAACCCGACTCATAAGCCAGAAACGCCGCAATGGTCAATTCTATTGAGGACATAAGCTTAACCCTGCCAACAACCCTCGAATCGCAAGTAACCACCACCCCCAACACCAGCTCATATCACCTAAAGGGCAAATGCTAACGCCCTCTCACGTCCATTTGGCATTTTAGCAGCAAACGTAAAGCGAACCTGGACAGTTCCATGTGTATTGCCTACGATCTACAACCGGAGGTGCACAAGCACAATCCCGCGCGGTATGGTTCGTCCTGGGCCATAAGCGACAGAGACAAAACAGTTCAGGTACTTACCCGATGCACTTCCCATGCAAGCAATGCAGTCTGCCACGCATACCCGACACTGCACAAGGCACAATAAAGCACGACGGTGACACGCCCAAAGGTTAAACTTCATAAACCTCATCCGATCAGCAAACAAAAAAGTACCCACGGACAGGTCATGTGCAACACCCCAAATGCCATCAGCGCCTCTCCAGCGCGACCACCCTCCCTTCCAATCCTTTCTTGCCATCCTGGGCGGCGAATTTAGGCCAAAAGACGCCGGATACAACCCAATATATTGCCACTGATGCGTGTCAGTTGGCCGACATAGGTACAGAACAAAATCTTGACAGACAAGGGACACATGGGATATGCTTGAGGCACCGTCTTTTGACCGCCAAACAAAGCGACGCATTAGCCAGCAGGCACATGCAAAAGTAACATGGAGTCTAAGCGCACATCCCACCGCTATTCTCGCAAAACCTACTACGCTAGTCGGAACATGGACATATTGCATGAACGCTAAAGGGCAGGCGTCTAACCCCCTGGAACCTGGCCCGTCCTATCCAACCTAAATCCCTTGCCGTGCAAGCCTATGCTCTTGCCTATAGCTTCCGCTGCAAAAGGCCCATCTAGTGAAAAGGCTTATGCGTGAAACCGGTGCATGGCGTGGCCCTGCACTTCACGACAACTCCCATGACGGCGCAAGCCGACATCTGGCAGCCGCGAGGTGCAATGCAAGCCGACGCCCATGGCTGCTGCTACTAATGGTGCACAGGCCCCTGGCACTCAGGTTCCAAAAAGGCCGCAAACCGCCGCTGACTACGCCCGCGTGAAGAGGGCTTGCTGCAACGCAGGAACCAGGGAAGGGCAAGGTGGAGTTGAGTACTGCTTCTTAAGCGTGAAGCGTCAGGTTGTGTGGAGGCCTACTAAGACGACAGCAAAACAACACAACCCGCTACGCACGTGCAAGCCCGTATGCATGGCTCACCAGTGTCTTCCGCATGCCCGTGCCGGCTCGCCCTGACCCCGCGTGGAGCAGGTCCTTGCCCCGGTCCGCCTCCTCATCCCTGCATGCGGGGCAACGCAGCAACGGAAAGCCCAGGTGGTGTTGGCGCTGTGACCACTCTCGTGCGGACAAGGAATGCATGTCTTGGGTCTGGGTCTGAATGGGATTGGATGCAATGCAATGAGTATTGAGGTAGTACCTTTCGCATCATCCCTCCTAAGATAACTATATGTCTGCATGACGTACAGCAAAGCCCACGTGGATACAAGTGGGGGCCCTTCCATCGCCATGCTTCTAAAGCTCGGCACTAGTACATTCAGGCCGCAGCGTCCCCGTGTTGCCCCGCACAGAGATGCATAAACACACCTCTAATGCCTCATATCCTCACCTCCGCACCCGCGAGCCCCCTGCCTCCCCGGCGTCCTGCAGTGCGGGTCGCGCCGCGGACGCCTCCGGCAACGCCACGGGCCTCTCCACCGTGCCGTTGGTCGAGCGCTGGTACTTGAGGATGGTCCAGTCGAAGACGTAATCCCAAGTCCAGCCTAACAGGATCCGTTGCGAGAGCAACAGTTACCCAATGCATCGTGAAAGGCTACTACATGGTAGAGGGTGTGCGTGGTACGGCAAGCCCACATGTGTGCCGTACGGCAGGCTATGCGTGTATTGATACACCGAGTGCATGAGGTGCATGCAAAGTGCAAGCTAGTGCATTTACAGATTTCCCGATTATGGCCTCGCTCGCCGTCACATGGAACAGTCCGCACGTAGCACTTACCCTCCTTGGCGAAGAGGTCCCGGAAGAGGCGCCTCAGGTAGGCGTAGTCCGGCTTCTCCTCGAACCGCTGCGCGCGCACGTACTGGAAGTACAGGACAAACTCCTGGGGGAACCCCTTGCACAGCGCCTCGAACGGCGTCTTCATCTTCTTTTCGCTGATCTTTTCGTATTTCTGCTTCTTGGTGGCTGCTTGCAAGCCCTGCCACGGCAAGCTCCCCCGGAGGAAGTACATGAACACGTACCCCAGCGACTCCAGGTCGTCACGGCGGCTCTGCTCGATGCCCATGTGCGTGTTCACGCTGGCGTAGCGCGCTGTCCCCGTCAGGTTTTTGTTTTCGCAGTAAGGGATATGAGCGTGCGTCTTCGGGTCCCGGTATTTTTTGGCGAGGCCAAAGTCGATGATGTTGACCTGGTTTGCCCGCTTGCCCAGGCCCATGAGGAAGTTGTCGGGCTTTATGTCGCGATGGATGAAACTGCGCGAGTGCAGGTACTCCACGCGTGCGAGCATTTGATCGGCTAGCATGAGTACTGTCTTCACGCTAAACTTCCGACCGCAGAAATTGAAAAGGTCCTCCAAGCTCGGCCCGAGCAGGTCGATGACCATAACGTTGTAGTCGCCCTCAATACCATACCACCGCAGGTTTGGGATGCCGACTGCATTTAGAACAACAACGACAATTCACGGGCCGTGTAACGCGCAAACAGTATCTGGCGATTGCATTCTGAGCGAAACACTCACCGCCGCCCTGAAGGATTTTGTACAGCTTGGATTCGTATAAGAGCTGCGGGTGGCGCGCTTTGACTGGTTCCTGTGCAAAGAACCGGAAACAAGGTTGCTGAACGAAGAGGCGCGCTCCAACGTCAGGATCAACCCACGCACCAGTTTTACGCCCACTTCTTCGCCCGTTTGCAAGTTTGTGCCTGCAGTAGCCATGCAGGGGCGGTGGGCTGCAAAATGCTCTTGTCGGCACATGCTCCTCTCTGCGAATGATTACCTAGGAAAATCTCCCCGAAGGAGCCACCACCAAGCTTCCTTCCAAGCCTATACTTCCCACCAACTATAGTCTCGTTCATGGTGCCTCCGGTGGCCCAGACGGCCCGTCGGAGCTCCTCCTAGTTCCTCTTGTGTAGTTTACTCCACTCCCCGGCCGCTGAGCTCGTAAGTAACACGGGGCCAGTATCCTGGCCGCGTACCAGCAGCCTTACACCAAGAGGCAACGACACATAGTGTCTGTCAACATGAACGTTCGCTAAACAGTTCGTGTCCAGTATTAATTGCCAACACGCAGGAATGAGGCTACAGGTCACAGCTGCTATCAAACCAGCTTCTTGTCATGATGGATAGTTCTGCCAGTTTAATTGCCGTTAATTCGTACGGGTCTTCGACTGTACGGTGCTCACAAGCGCAAAGGTTAAGTTTGCTTTGAGTAAGCCTTTAACATTACTGGATAGTTGCGAAGGTACATCGCATGCCTATAGCCCTCCCTCGAAGATGCGTACGTCCTTCGACGGTCGACCCGGAGTTGCGAAGTATGTTGCAGGTCTGCCAGGATTCCTTCTCAAGCGCTTGCCCGATTCCGAATTCATGAGCTAGGGCTCGACGCCCTGCGGGAAGTGTACACGACACGCACTGCATCAAGCCCCGGGCCAGAAGACACATGGGACAAGGGAGCACGTATGCCCTGAGGCTCACACAGCCCACCGCATCGCGTCGACTCTGCGCGCTGGAATGTGGCCCTGCCAAGGTGACTCTGCCGGAGTCCGCCAAAACGCTACCGGTGCTCATGCCCTTGCACGGAGCTCCCATCTGCACGATCTGAACACAGCCCACCCAACGATCATTCGCACTGCACAAAAGCCAAGCACGCGATACCTTTCCAGCCGCTGCTTGTACGCTCAACGCCAAGGCAGTCGGGGATGGTTTGGGGAGCCCTTGAAGATTGAAGAACATTGGTTGCCTGTCGTACATGTCGTACTCTGCCCCAACCGCTGGCCCGTCCGCGCATCTCCCTTCACCCCTTTCCCTCCACTAATGACTGGGTGGTTTTGCGATTACATAACTTTTATATATCGTCAGAGGACTTTGACTCTTGCGCCTGTCTCTGTATGCCTCGGAGCGCTGGTTGCGACTACAGCAAACTGTCAATGAATTTTTCCCCCAAGCATTGTGCATAAGCAAGGCTATTTATTACTTCATAGCAATGTTTCATGACACAGGCTAATGCGTGCTTTAATAAGCTTCTTGTCGCTCGGCAGACGTTGCTGTGGCGGTGCCAGCGCCTACGACCAAACTTCTAATGGCGCAGAATGTATTGGGTCACAAAATAAGGAACCGCCTAAGCCAGCGGAGTGTGCTGCAGGCCGCTCGGAAGGTACTCGTCAGTGAGGTCCTAGGCATGCCTCCTCATGTTGACCGTAATCGACTGAACTCTGGTTGCATTTGAAAAGTTGGGCTTAGGTCTCGCTGGCTGTGCACTGCAAACGCCGTCAGGCGCTTGCATTGGACTTGCTTTTCCTATGCTCCTTCGCTATGCCTTACGGATGACAACTTGTTGCCTCCCGTTTTGTTGCCTTTCTATTTGTAGAGGACGGCAGTCAAAGCCTATCCTCAATACCATCGGAGTCGTCAGCCCTAAAGGACCTTCAGTTGAAATTGAAGGTGCCCTTTTCAGAGCTAACCTTCAACGCCCTCATCGGGAAGGGTAGCTTCAAGCAGGTCAGTTGGCGACAAACTCGCGGCTGCTGCGACTCTAGTAGCTGGCTGCTTGCTCGCAGATGCAGCTTCCCCCTTCAACAGCTCTCCTTACCAGCTTGCCTCGCCCGCTGCCCCGCCTCTCCCATCCCGCCCTATGCAAAGGTCTACCGAGGCAAATGGAACAACACAAACGTCGCCGTCGTGGCCATGCGGCGGGGAGGTCTGGTAACGGAAGCCAGGCTCATGCAGCAGCTGGGAGCCCACCCAAACCTGGTCCAGTTCTACCGGTACGCAACCCAAGTAGCACCAGCACACGTCGGCATTCCCTCTTGCCCTTTCCCGCCTCCACCTCGCTACCATGCTCCTCCTTTCTGCCTGCTCCCACCTCTCTCCTCCCGCTCCTCTTCCTACCTCTCACCCCCATCCTCCCGCCTCTCCTCCCTCCCCCGGAGCTTGTCTGGCTTGCTTCTAATTCAACTCAACCTGGGGGTTCTTCTTTCCCCCTCCCCCGCCCCTCCCAACCCCAGCTGGTCCTCCGACCACCGTGGCAACGAGTACATGGTGGTGGAGCTGGTGCCCTTCGGCGGGCTGGACCGCGTGCTGGCGCAGTTCGGCCCCTCGCTCCGAAACCGCGCCAAGCTGGCCATGTGCGAGCAGGTGGCGCATGCGCTGTGCGAGCTGGCGGGCGAGGGGGTGCTGCACCGTGACCTGGCGGCACGTAACATCCTGGTGCAGTCGCTGCAGCCGGTGCATGTCAAGGTACGGCAGGGAGGAGGTGTGAGGAGTGGGGACGGGTGTGAAGAGGAAACGACTAACGAACCGTGTGTGTGGTGGTGGTGGGAGGGGTGCGTGGACGTGGACGTTGACGTGGACGTGGAGCAACAGGGCGTGGTGGCCAGGAGGAGACGGGAGGGGCTCTGGGCGGTAGTGTTCGGGACCAGTAGCCCTGCCCTGTCCTGCATGGTTGGGTTTTGTGGGTGGGTGCGGGCAGGAGGCGCACGTGTGGTGGTGCGCAGCATGCGGGTGGGTGGCAGCTTGTGCTGCTGTAGGACGTGCAATTCACCCTTAAAATCTTTTTAAAATGACCATCATCCTACTCGTGTTTGTCGCCCGGCTGCAGGTATCCGACTTCGGGTTGGCTCGTGTGGCGCCCACCCTGAGCTGGGATCACCCGGAGCAGCCTGGCAGCGGCGCTGCTGCTGCTGCTGCAGCTGCTGTTGTTGTCGCTGCTGCGGCGGCTATAAGTACTAGCGACTGTGGCGGTCTAGGTGGTGTTGCGGATGGCTGCGGAGGAGGAGGAGGCGCACGGTGTGGCAACGGGGTTACTTCTGCTGCTGCTGCTGCTGCTTCTGGAGGCGGCAGTCATGGTGCAGGCGAGGGTGGGGCTGCGGGGGCGCTGCGGGACAGCAGCAGCAGCGGTATGCTGCTGTCGCCGCCGTCGCATGCTGACAAGACGGCGCTGGTGCCGGTGCGGTGGAGCGCCCCGGAGGTGCTGCGGACCGGGGGAGGCTGGTCGGAGAAGTCCGACGGTGAGCTGCATGGACGACGATTGAACCATGGGTCAGCAACTGCAAAATGCATGCGCTAAGCGATACCGTATGCAGCCTACGCACAGGGTTTATGTGTGACGTCGCAGTAAGCCGTGATTTGCGTTTTCTGTTGCTTTAACCTCTTAATTTTGCTGCCCTGCTAATCTTGGTGCAGTGTACTCTTATGGCGTGACCATGTGGGAGATCTTCAGCAACGGTGCGGAGCCCTACGCCAACCGCTCTAATGCCGAGGTGCGCCCCGCAGGCGGCGTGGTTGCTGGCTAGTGTGTATGCGGGGCCTGGGTTGTGGCTGGTGGGCCGTGCGTGTGCACGTCTGCACGGGAGAGGAAGGGGAGGCATGAACCGGTATATGGCAAGTCGGGGCAGCGCGCTGGAGGGTAGACAGGCAGCACAGGCGGGTTAGTTGCCTTGCCGGGTTAGCCTCCTTCCCTCCTTTCCAAGCATACGGGTCATGCTTGTAGCCCTTGACCATTCAATCATATATGGACTTGCAACTTGTAAGAGACGGCGACACAGCTCTGGTAACACTTCCGCCGGCACCCACCGCGCTGGTTTCTCACGCCGGGCACCGCAGGCCGCTGATGCGATCATCGGCGGGCAGCTGCTGCCGCGTCCCAAGAACTGCCCGCAGCAGGTCTACTCCCTCATGCTGGGTGAGGCGGCTGTGGCTGGGTCTTGGTGCTTCCTGGGCCGACAGGTTACCGCAACTTACGGGCGCAGCACCCATGACAAAAAAAAGTAATTACGGGGTGGCAGAAGCTCCGTCGTAGCAGTGCATGCAAACCCTGCCCTGCCCTGCCCCGCCTCCTGCCCACCGCAGACTGCTGGCACCCGGACCCCTCCCAGCGCCCCACCTTCCGCCAGATCGCCGAGGTCTACCGCCGCTGGCGCGAGGTGGCGCTGGCCGCCAAGGCAGCGGGCAGCCTGGGCCCCAGCAGCGCGGAAGACAGGAACACCAGCAGCTGCATGGGGGGTAGCAGCGGACCCAGCGGCCGTGACAGCAGCAGCGTTGTGGGTGCTGCTGCTGCTGCTGGGGCGCGTGACGGCGGCGGTGCTGCGGAGCGTGGAGGAGGAGGAGGAGGAGCGGTGGTGGTGGTCGGTGCGGGCCCTGCTGCGGCTGCCTGCGAGCAGCTGCTGCTTCGTAAGGAACCGGCGTGCGGTGTCGACTTGCACACCGGCTCCCTTGCGCCGCGCTTGCCCATGCCGGCTGCACATGCACCTGCTGCTGCTGCTGTGGTGGTGGTCCCGGCTGTTGCCCTGTTGCCGACGGGCAACGGCTGCGTTTCGAGCCGTCCTGCCATACGTGTTGGTGGTGGTGGTGGTGGTGGTGGTGGCGGTGGTGGTGGTGGTGGCTACGTGCCCGTAGCAGCGTTGTTCGCTCCTCATCTCCCAACCAGGACCCCCCAAGCCTATGGAGGCGGCAGTGGCGGTGGTGCGGGTAGCGCTGAGGGCGGTACTTCACAGCAGCTTGAGGCCATTCACTCGGGCAAGGTGCTGCAGCTGCCCGCGCATCGAACGCCTCCGCAGCAACTCTGTGAGCAGCCGCAGGAGCAGGAACAGAATCAGCAGCAGCAGCAGCGGCGGGCGTGTGGGGGCGCAGCAGCAGCAGCACGGCCGGGTGGTCCGTCGTGTGGGCAAGTCCCTGATTGTTCGGGTAGCAGCAGCAGCAGCAGTGGCGGCGGCGGCGAACGCGGAAGCATGGAGGGGTGAGATGGGGTCCATGTCTTTCCACCTGTGCCCATGGTCGTCTACAAGCATGTTTCGGAGAATGGCCTTCAGCACGGCTCTGTGATGCTCCATTGTTGTTGAGAGGACTCAATGACCCTTGGGACCCTTGAGTTTCACGATGGTTGCATGTATAGCTAGCCCACCGCCCCCCCACGCATCTAACTGCTGCTTCGCTGTCGGCTTGCCCTCCCTTCCTTCACCCGAGCAGGCCGCTAGGCAGCAGCTGGCTCGCCTGCATGGCGGAGTGCGGCGCCGACACCGCGTCCGGCACACCCGTGGTGCAGCCGCCGCCGCCGCCGCCCCTGCAGCAGCAGCAGCAGCAGCGCCCTCTTCGAGCGCCGACACAGCCGGCCACCGCAGCAGCAGCAGCAGTACCAGTACCAGCGGTGCCCGCGAGCTGTGCACTGCCGTTGAGCGCCTGTTGGGCCGCACCCGACGAAGGCAACAGGGGTAACAAGGCCGCCGCCGCCGCCGTCTGCGGCGGCGGCAGCAGCCTTAGCGGAGGCACTGCTAGCGGAGTCAACGGAAGCGGTCGAGGTGGGGGTGGTAGTATCGGAGGCGGTTGTGCGGACGGCAGCGGAGCCATGACCGGCGGCGGTAGCGCTCGATTTGGGCCAGGATTGGGGGATGCCTTTGGAGGCCGCTGCCTGCGGCCGGTGATGCGTTGGGGCGATGGCGGGATGAACGTCGGCGGCGGTGCTGGTTGCATGGTGAGCGGGACGTCCAGCGCCCCCGGCGGCGGCGGCGGCGGCGCAGGGTCCCTGGCTCGCATCGGCACCGGCACCTGCGACACTTGCATGTTGAGCATGGAGGTCGAGACGGTGATTGACCCCATGATCTCCGCCTCAACCCCCATCTCAACCGCTGTGAGCTGTCTGTCGCCTCATCGCGAGGGGACCAGCGGTCTGCCGGCGACTATGGCGGTGGCGGCGGCAGCGGCGGCGGCACTGGCGGCTGGGGATGGATCCTGGGCGGCGGCGGGCTGGTCTGGGCCTGGGCGGCAGACCTCACCTTGTACATCTGCCGTGGGGGCGGGGGGAGCCTCCAGACGGCTGCATCAGCAGGTGTTTGGGCGGCTGGACTCCAAGCAGTCGCACCTGAGTTTGCAAGACAGTGGGGAGAGGGCGCTGGCGTCGTTGGGAGACATGTTCCTGCGGCGTTCCGCGTCTCCCCTGCCGCCGAAGCAAAAGTCGGATCCGGAGACGTTGGAGCTGGCGTTTCCGAGCAGCGGTGGCGGAGGTCCAGGTGAGTCGAGAGCGTTGCGGAGACGTTAAGGTGACGGCATTGTATGTGTCGGTGGCAAACACCACCACCACCTCAGTCACTACCACGCGTTCCAGCTGTGTTCCTGGCAAGGTACCGTACATTTACTTCTCTTCACTTCCTGTCTCTTGCATGCTTGTATGCAGGTACTGGCGGCGTTGCGACGCAGCCGCAAGCGCAGCTTTCCCAAGCAGCAGCGTTGCTGCCCTCCGCGTCCTTTCCCCCGCATCGCACCAAGGAAGGAGGAGGAGCTGAAGACCTACCGGTAAGCGCCGGCGGCAGCGGCGGCGGCGGCGGGGGCAACAGCCGACCCGCTGGGGCTTATGCCTACGACGGATGTTTGCCGCCGCTGCTGCCGCCGCCGCCGTCACGGCTGTTGCAAGGGTCGAGGGCGGCTGCGGGGGCGGCAGCGGCTGCTGGGTCCGCAGCGCAGGCGGAAACAGAGACCCCCTTTGGGACGCGGCACGCTGCGGCGCAAGCGTTAGCAGCCGCAACAGCAGCTGGCATGTCTGGTTTCTCAGCGGCTTGCGAAAGTCCGTACCTTTCCATTCGGATGTTATGAGTGAGGAGGGTGCCGTGGGCTTTCAAGGCGGTGCATGGGGGCAACAAACAGACGAGTTAGGGAACGCATTGTCGCTTCAAGAGACCCGAGGGGTTACGGCTGGGGTTACCCATTACTACAGCTTCTTGTCTCATGGACGCTCTGAGATTTGGAAGTTCGGGATTTAGTGTACCGGTGGGATTAGTGCTGTTCAGGGGGTGCTTAACGACTGACGTTTTTAGTAATGGGACATTAACGTTTTCACACGAAAGTGGGACTCTGAACGAGATTTGCATAGCTGCTATCGGCACGTACATGATGTGGCAATGTGGCATGTTTGTTGCTTTGCTCGGTGATGTGTTTCTCGACGTTTGCTCGATGCATGGATAGCCGCGGCCCGCTGTTTCGTCTTTAGGTGCGTCAGTTGGGCGTTCAAGAGAGTTCCCAGTTCCCAGCAGTCCTGTCAGCGTCTCCCTCCTGCTGCGTGACTCGCGCCGGGCCCCTGGCGAAGGCTGGAGGCGGCCCAGTGTATGGTGGCATGCTCAATCTAGATGTTGTGAAGGAGCGGTGTCGTGTCATCGTGGAGCAGCAGGGAACGACGGAGTTCTCTGAATCTTAAGGCGCTGTTTCCTGGCCTTTGGGAGGTGGAGTTGAAAGGGCTATGTGGCTTATTGGATGATGATAAGTTACAGCGCTGGGCCGGGTCATGCGGTGGGTTTGTTGGGGGGTTGCATGTTGGTGGGCTGGCCGTGTGTTGCCCCATGCTGCATGCGAGCATGCGGGGGGGAGGGTGTTGTCACCAGCGGAAGACAATGCCCCGCGTGTTCCGTTCATCATTGACGTGTGTCACACGTACGTATGATCCGATCAAAACCTACTCAACTTCAGTACCACTATAGGCATGCAATACAGGTGTGCTGGATTACTACTGGGGTGTTGGTTGCGTGACGGGTGTGTTAAAATAACTGGCCGCGAGGCGTGTGTGTGTGTGTGTGTGTGTTGAGCCAGTTCGTCGGCTTGGCTTACGGCGCGGCTGTGACGTCGATGATGATGATGATGATAATGATGGTGGTGGTGATGGTGGTGATACCAAACACGTTATGGGTTCCCACGCGTGGCGAGCGCCACGCGGCCTTTAGACATAAAACATTGACATGATAACATGGACGGTGTTGGTTCGTTCATGGTGTAGATTGAAGGGTTACGTGCGTCAATCTATCAAGTACAGCTGCTTCTTGAAGAGACCAGACAGCAAACCGTTACGTGTCTGTATTGTTCCTTCCCTACTTTGTACCGGTACGCTGGGTATGCCGATCATGCTACTAATTGGATGGCGCTTAATAGCTTAGTGTGCGGGCTTTTGAATATGTTCTATTTGATTGAGGCTATTGGTTATGCTGCTGTTTTGAGAATAAACCTGACACTGCTTATCACGTCGCTGTGAGTCCTTTCATAATAAATGGGGGTTACGTTTTTCTTAAACTTAACCTTGCTGTGCTGTCCCCTAGAAGTACCGTATCACCTCCCACCTGCTTGCGGCGCTTGCGTGTGCCCTTGTGATACAAACCCTGCAGGGCTTGGGTTTATCACGGGGTGTACTCGGCAGGCGTCCTTGCTTGCGAGCATTACGTATTACATGCCGCGTACGGTTTAGCGTGGCTTTCAATGTGCTGCGCCCGTCACCAAACGTACTTCACATGTGGGTTTGTGTCGTTGCTTGGCTTAAATGTCTAAATGAATAAAAATGATTCCTGGACGTGTTTCCTTGTTGTTGTTGCTTTACCAATGTCTTTACCAATGTGAGGCGTGTAGGGCCGGCTGGGCTTTGCTCGTGCTCGTATCGTGTATGGAGTTAGTTTGCATACATGAACGGGTTAACTTAAGCTAGGAAGGTGGGTGAGCTTACACGGCGCGTTTATGCCACACGGCAAAGCCATTTGCGACAAACTCTGCTTAGTTGTAAAGCGACGAGTGCTGGTTAGGAAGGTGGTATGGTGATATTAAGGGAGCGGGCCGCTGCATGGAACCGTGCCGCGCACCCAAGCGTGTGTATTGTTGATGCCGGTTGATGTATGGTGGGATTCGTGCCCCAAAGAGGGGCTGCTGAGTGCTGGGCGTCCTTGCGAACAGTAGGTTGTTCTTGCAAATGGGAGCTCGGAGGATAATATTTTTTGCATTTTACGGTAGAATTTAAATTGTACGTTTTAGGCTGCAACGTAATGATTAATTTTTCTGTAATGTACTTATCCGCCAATGCTTGGGAAAGCAGAGCTAGAGAGCACCCCCATGTTGTCAGAGCCGCAAGAGTGCCCCTCCAGGGTTGCATTCCCATGGACGAATGACTGTTACAGTGATCCCAGACCAGAAGGCATGCGGAAAGCGGACGTCAATGATGCGAACGTCGTTGCGTGCATGCGTACCCTGACTCACTAGAGGGTCACAGACATTCCTCCCGATACCGTACACACACGCATTTACCCTACCGTACACACACGATTTTACCCTCAATGATGGCCTTTAGCAGGCATGCATGTCATGGCACTCTGAAACCGGGCTGCGTCGAAAACCTGTCAGGCTGTCAGCGTGTCCGGTCACGCTGCTTCCCCCTCCTAACAATGCCCTGCTGTACACCGTGACACATAAAGAATAGGTTTATTTTATCAGACAATGCATATAGCTAGCACGGTGCCCCCTACAATAGCTACCGTGGCTGGCAAATCTACCAACACCAATCCTCTGCAAGGGTTCCCTTACGGGTTCCCGCTTATGCAGCTCAACCGTTCCGTACAAAATGACATGCAGGTGGCACGCGGTCATGCCGCACAGGACGGGCGCTTCGCCCATGTGCAAATGTCCGCTGATGCTGGAGATGCATGAACCCTATTTCCTCTGCATTAATCCTCTGTACAGTGCTTTTATCGTGCCCTTTCACACCGTCAAGTTTCTCGGATATCCACCGGCAAGAATGTGTGGTCCCACGGAGGTAGTTTTGACCATAACCAACTCGCAACAGCAAATGCTGCGCCGTACGATACATATCACACATCCATCACACGCAGGATTCGTCTGTAGGGCGCTTTGTGTAAATACAAGCATTCATCCATCATCGTCTTATCAACCCCCGTACATCGCTGCTGAAAGAGCAAGAAAAGACCAGTTCGCTCGTGTAGGAAAGAAGGATGCCATAAAGGTACTTTATACCACCTATACCCCCGACCGCCCCGCAAGCCACGAAGCCACGCCGAGGTGCCGTACCAGGGCCAGTCACGACGCACTACCCAACCCGCCTCATGACCCACGGGTCCACTGACCCATGGGTCGTCTAGACTTCATCACCCCCGATCGCCGAGCGGATCTCCGACGCACCCCGCGCCCATCCCGCCCACGCAGCCCTCCAGTCCATAACCCCATTCTCAATACCAACACCGAAAACGGCGCTGACAGCTTGTCCAACATCCACTCTTCTTGTCATGTCGCAGCAACAATGGGGGACGCCGGATGTGGCATGGAGGCCGGTTGCGGAACGGAGCCCTGGCGAGGCATGGAGCCTTGTCGCGGCATGGTGCTCTCTTTTCCGAGCGGGCTGTGCGCCACCAATGTCTCTATTTCGGGCAGCTCAGCAAACTGCCGATCCAGCTCCCGAATGTTAGCCTCAAGGCCCCTGGGAAGAGTACGGCAGCGGGGACAGCAGTGCGATTAGCGCTGGGCCATGACCCGGGATGGCGAAGCCCCGGGGGCTCCCAGTGCAAGTGCGCGAGGATTCGGGTACCCCCGAAGCCGCATGCACGAACCCAGCTAACACCCGGACCTCAGGAACACACACGCCCGCGGAGCCGTGAAGCCCAGTCCGAGGCAGCAACCCAGCCCATCCCAACCCAACCCAGCCCCCTCGCAACCAGGCAGCAGCACCCTGTATACCCGGAAGAGCACCCAAGCAGCAGCACCAGCCCACCACTCCCCCCACCCACGGCACCCAGACACCCACTTGCAAAAGTCGTACAGGGGCAGCACATGGAAGGGCTCCTCCAGCTGCACCCCGATGTTCTCCACGCCCAGCATTAGCATGGCGATCACCACCGCCACCAGCGGGGTCATCCAGCCGGTGCTCTGCCACAACAGCACGGGGGAGGTCACCACGTAGAGCATGAGGAAGCGGGAGGTGTGCCTGCAGGAGCCGGGGGGGGGGGCAGGGCGCGTGTGTGCACAGGGAGAGGGGTTGGTGGCTTGGTGGTGGCTGGCTTGAGCCCGCGGGGGCGGGATGGAGGAGCAGACCTAGGGAAGTGTGTGTACAGTGCGCGCCGGCTAGCTGCATGCCGGCATGGACGTGTTGTTACATGATGGGGCCAGTCAGGGTTCAGGGTTCAAAGAAGAAGAAGAAACAAGGAGCAAAGAGGAGTTCCACTCGCCTGGCGTAGGCGGGCGGAATGGGCGTTTTGAAGATGCGCTCGCACGCCCCCGCCATGTTGGTGTAGAGCTCCACCTGGGGGTCGTGGTAGGGGTGTGTGTGTGTGTTAGCGCCGGTACCTCAACTGGCCGCAAAACTGACACTTTGGCACATTGGTTAGATAGGTTGGTTTGACAGCACACACGTACTGATTGTACTGTGATTGTACTGTGATTGATTGTGATTGTCGGAAGGGAGTGTCCCCAGTGTGTTAAGACAATTGGCCACGAGTAGGAACGCATGTGCGCGGCCGTCAGCGAGGATCCCACGCCTCGCGTCACTCCTCATATAACCTTTCACTCCCACCCACCCACCTGCTGCTGCAGCGCCTGCTCCAGCTGCGGCTCCAGCCCCGCCGCCGCCACCACCCGACCCAACGCAGTGCCCACACCCAGCGGCCCGTTGGCCCAGGTGCGCAACCACTCTACCTGCGAGCGCGGGGGGGGGGGGGGGGGGGGGGGGGTGCGGGGGGGGGAGTGCGGGGGGGGGGGGTGCGGGGGGGGAGGAGTGCAGTGCATGGCGCAGTGCTGCTTGGCGGAGAGGAGTTTGCATGCCGCATGTGGCGCAGAGTGCAGAGCAGTAACGCATCATGTGGCGAAATGCATCTGTCTGCACAAAGCGGATCCTCAGCGAACCCCAGGCGGCAACAAACCCATCAGCCCTCCCCCCTTCCACGCCCCCCAGCTCCACGCCACAAAAGCCCGCCTCCCCAAACCCTCAACGCGCCGCACAGCCCAAGCCCCCCTAGCTCCCCAGCAGCCCCCTAGCCCTAGCTCAGCAGCAGCAGGCCAGCAGCCTCAGCAGCAGCAGCCTCGGCAGCTTCAGCAGGTCAGCTCTGCGCTCACCTCGGCCGGCCGCAGCACGCCATGCACCTCGGGTGTGAGGTCCACCCCCTTGCGCAGGTGCACTCGCAGCACACGGGGAGCGGCAACCGCCCAGCGTACGGCAGCGGCGCGCAGGTCGGGGCGGCTGGCGGGGATCCACATGAGGGCCTGCGGGGCGGGGGAGAGGGGGGGAAGGGGGAAAAGTATGGGAAAAGCAGCTACTGGAGTCCAAATCCTATATATCTTGACACATGAAGTGAGCGCATACTGAGGCATTAAGGGGGGGGGAAAGAGGGTGGGTAGAGGCGGGTGGCTGGGAGTGCGGTAGGGGTGCGGGGTGGGGGTGGTGTGAAGGGATGAAGGGACGAAGGGGGTGGGTGCTGAAGGATTGGTGGTGGAGTAGAGCAAGCTGACGACCCTCATCCCAGCAACCCCCCGGGTGTATTGGCACCCACCTGGCGTGTGTAGTTCCGACCAAAGTTGACGACCTGTGGCGGGGTACAGCACCGAAAAAGCAGGACGAATGGTGAAACCCGTGATTAAGAGTGATGAGCCACTCAGGGTGCAAACCCGCAGCCCTAGCCACCCTTTGGCCACCACCACGCACCTTGACAGGCAGCCCTTCAGTCAGCCATCCAACCAACAACAACAGCTCCCCAGCCCCGGTCCCCAGCCACCTGCTCACCTTGCCCCACACGATCCGCGCCTCCCACCAGCGACTGTAGCTGGAGTTGGTTTTGAACACCAGCAGCAGCGACAGCGCAAAGGTGATCATGCTGCCGGCAGGCGTGCATGCAAAGGGGCAGGTGCGGAGGACAAGCAGATAAACACCGGCAGCGGTAAGCGAGGACGGCAAAGTGAACGGCCAAGCGACGAGCGGGTAGACATGCGCTGAGATCAGCCAAGAGATACAGCAAGAGGTGAGGGTTGCGGGCTGCTCAAGCCTCCGCAGCGGGGCCGGAGGCACACAGCAGTGGAGCAGTGGGAGCCCTTGCGGGCATGCACAACGAAGGGACGTTGCAGCAAGAGGTGGCGTTGCGAGCACAGGAGGAGGCGTTGGAGGTGCAGGTCGGTAGCAGCACAAGGACGCCCCGGCATGGGACAGTTAGGGTGATGGCTGCTCCGGCGGTTGCGTCTGCTGCCCCGGAAGACCCACTCACTTGAAGGGGGTACTCAGATGGGACCCTGACAGGAACTCGCTGCTCTCCGGCTGTAGGGGGAAAGGGCACAGCAGGGGAGCGACGACGTTACCGGTGCCACGCGCGTGTGTTTGGAGGAGGAGTGGGGGTTGGGGGCGTGAGGAGGGGCAACAAAAGTCGGTAGTGGTTGCCGGTAGATGGACAGTGCATGAAGGCGGGTGGGTCTTGCTGAAAGGGCGAAGCATCCGGGCAACGCATCCAGCCATCGAATGCATCCAATGCATCCAGAGGTGCAGGGAGCCAGCTAGCGGCCAGCACTGCTTGCATGCATACCACCACGATTACGACAGACACGCCCTCAAATCGACAGAAACTGTGTTTGCGGGCTGCTGCTGCTGCTGCTGCGTGCCTCCCTCCTAGCGGCCTGGTGCGCGCTCCTACGTCCTGCCACGAATGTTGAGAAAAAGCCTGGCCGCGAGTGGAGGAACGTACCACGAATGTGTGCAGCAGTCCCACTGCGATTGACACCAGCAGCACCAGCGCAAGCTGCCAGGTGAAGCCCGCGCACACACGCAGGCTGCGGGAGGGAGGGAGTAAAGTCACACGTACGCGGCGTGAATTGTTAAAAGTACAGTTATTCCAAACACGTGCGGACTGCACGGTAAGAGCGATGGGGGTGGAGGCAGCAGCAGCAGCAGCAGCAGGAAAGGCAATGGATGAATCGGCACGAAGGTCCCGGCACAGTGACAGCATCGGCAAGGGGGGGAAGATTGGGATCACAGGGGGTGGGGAGAGGTGGCAACATGTGTGGCAACATGGTGGTGGTGGTGGTGGTTGGGTCATGAGACGCCCGTACTGCAAGCTACCGCTGGGAGGAGAGGATAAGCTCGGGCCCTAGGGTATGGCCAGTGTGGGGGATGAAGGGCTGCTTTCATGCGGTGCAGTGAACGAGTGGCAGCAACGTCACTTGGTGCGCAACCCGGCCCACTTCCTTACAAGACGACTGGTTCCATGCGATGGCGATATGCCGCGCTGCGATGCCTTGTCCAGTCTTCATGGCCGAACACCTAAGGAGCATCAGGGCGGCCCCGCGTGTTGAGGATGCCCCAGGGGATGGCTCCCAACGGCAAGTTGGGTCAACGCCAGCGCTGCGCTGTGCCTACCTTGTCTTCAAATAATCTTGTATGAGTACCGGGCTGGTGGAATATATGTGAGAAGTGAAGATCGCGGTGCGTCTGGTCTAAACTGCCCATCGCCTTATTACGTTGTAAGCTTCAAGCAGGTGTAAAAGTATGACCAATGTATAGAGTAACTATGTAAGCTTTGCAAGGCGTGAATTCTTAAAGGAGACGAGGAACGCAGCGGAGCAACGACGCGTAGGGTTTGCTTATCTAATGCTGAGTGTAGGTGTGCACTGCGTGAAAAAGTTGTAAAGCTATGAATGTGCTCTCTCAAGGGATAACGAACTTCCAGATAGATACCGGTAGGTAGACTGATGGACGAAGCTTCCGTACGTGAAGAGAGTGCTGTGTGCTGTTCGGCATAAGTGCAGTGTAGCAGGTTTGGTGCGCCAGTTGCATTTCCACCTCACATGGGAAGCTGTAAACGTCCAAGCAAGCAAGCACGCAAGCAAAGCATCGCAACACCGCACACGTCCATCTGGAATGTTTTCCGCTTACGAGCCCATTTCCGAGCATGTAGCGCCCAACAGCCCCAGGGTGACAAGAACAGTTGTGTTTGTGACTATAACGGTGGCCAAACCTGCCCCGCTCGTTCTACTTATACATGTGTTACAGGCTACGCATGACCGCGCCATAAACCAATTGGCATCCAACTTCCCATTTTTTTGTGTGCGACCCCACAATGCAGGGCGCAGCGGCGACAAGGAATCGGACAACCTGGTAGCTCCTGGAGGCAATCAAAGGCACACTACGTGCTAGCGTGCTGCAACACCCCTCTCACGCAAACATACTGCTTGCTACCAAATCAGAACAATACGGGCCAGTCCACGACCGACTCAACGTGCAAACCCAACCGCAACCCTACCTAAGCGCTCCTACCGCATTCTCATGTCCACATCGGACCGCAACCAACCCTTCACGCAACCCTGACTGTACACACTGGCAATGGCTCTGTGGCGCCTACCAACTTCCCCTTTCGCCGTCTAACGAGCCCGTCTAAACGAGTTAAGCTGTGCTAATATACCTGCCCCACGCCCCGAGTAATCTACAGTTTGACACTTTCAAGACGAGGACGATGGCGGCGGTGCTGGAGCCGCCGAGGAGCTTCCACCCCCATCACCGGCCCCCGACTGTCGCCGCCGCCTACCCATTCTGGGGCCCGCAACTGCCCACACCCCTACCAGCACTGCAGAAATAGCCTTCGCCTCCTTCCTATAATCAGAACCGCTCTTCTCTACCGCAACTCCGCTGCCGCCGCCGCCACCGTCAGCGCCTTGTCGTACGATGCCAACGGCCCTTCCCGCCGTCACCGCGGTCCGCCGTACCCACCCGCCGGCGGATCCCAGGGAGGTCCGCAACCGGGGCCCCACGCCGCCTCGCCGTGACTGTTGGGCCGACGTCACCGCCACCGTCGGCGGCGGCGGCGGCGGCGGTACCTTCGCCTCAGGTTCCCATTCAGCCTTGCCGGTGCGCAGCACCTCCTCCGCCTCCGCCACACTCTCCTCCGTCAATGGGTGACCCCGCGCCGCCGTCGCCGCCGCTGCCGGTCCCGCCGGTTCCGCCGCTGGCCCTTGCGGCACCTCCGTCGCCTTCTTCTTGCCCCACAAGCCTCTCAGGATGCCTCTGCCACCGCCGTCGTGTTGACGCTGGTCCTCGTCTGCATGCTGCAGCAGCAGCTTCGTGCCTCCGGAGCGGCCTGCCTGAGCTCCGTGGCTGGTGGTGGCATGCGCGGCGGCGGCGGCGGCAGCAGCGGCGGCAGCCGCAGCCACGTCGTCTAGGCCGTGGCCGTGGGCTTGGTCACCTGGGGGGTGCAGTCACATTACCGGTACCGTAACAAGGACGCCAAGGACCTGTTTACTCTGTTTTATGAAGCTGTGAGTGGAGACAGCAGCTGCTCAAGACGGGGCGCCTGACCCAAGCATGGCTACCAAAGCGGCTGTCGATCAACGCTTGCAGCTGGGCATCTTGGCAGCTTGGGACACGCATCGGACTGCACTGCGCACTACTACTATATATCGCACCAAAGCCACCCCTACCGCAGTGCTCATCCACCGCACCTGCTGCATGCGCCGGCGAAGGTACGGCGCCAGAAGCACCGTCACCACCGCCGTCAGTGCCGCCGCCGCCGCCCGCTGCTGCAGTACCGCCGCCACCGCCGCCGTCGCTGCTGGCGGGCTCGCGGTGGCCCCCTCGATGTGCTGCCGCTCGGCGCAGTGCGGCCCGTACTCGCTGCGACTCCTGCTGCCTGCGGCGGGCGGGCACAACAGGGGGCGTTCGAAACGGGGGCAGGGCAGCCGGGCCCTGCGCGGGTGAGTGCCGGGCGCAGACCTCGTAGGAGGAGGAGGAGGCGAACAAGCAGAACGGAACAAAAGAATCGACCTCAGCAGCAGCAGCAGCAGCAGCGGCAGCGAGAATGGGACTAGTGAAACACACACAGCAGCCTCAAGCTGTGAAATGCTGGATCCGTACTACTCACTCCTGTGTCGCTATGTCTGCCGCCCGCATCGCCGCCTTCACAGCAGAGATCTGCGCGCCGGGGCCGCCAAACTGTGACGCCGCCACCGCCGCCGCCGCCGTCGCAGCCGCCACCGCCGCTCGTTCCGCGGTGTGCACATGCGCAGCTTCGCTGATGCTGAGACCACCGCTGCCGCCGCCAGCACCCCCCACAACCTCGCCCTCCCCGGCTTCGTCGCCGCCGTCGCCATCGCCCTTGTCACCCTCGCCGCCGCCGTCGGCGCTGCTGCCGGCAGCCGCCTCGTGCTCCATTGCAGTCGCGATGCGTTTGTTGGCACGTCGGATTCCGAAGCCCATGATGAAGGGTGCCACGACCGACATGAATCCCGACACTTGGGTGGCGATGGAGATGGCTGCGAACAGCAGCAACAGACCCACCACACTGAGCCACACGGGCCAGGAGAGGGCGTGAGGTCGGCGCACGGAGCCGTCGTCGCCGCCCGCAGAGTCGTGGGGACCGCCGCCGCCGCCGCCACGGCCGCCGCCACCACCGCCTGAGGTAGCGGCAGGGTAAAAGGCGCAGGTAGGGTAAACGGCACTAAGCATTCACTTGGATACCACATCAAGCGACGCCACCGCAAAAGCTTCAACGCGGCAGGAGCCAAGCGGGTAGTCGTGTACGCATGCGGGCGCAACAGACAAACAAGACCCCTCGATTGTATCCTGCGCCCCCTTTACATACCTCCGCCACCGCCGCCGCCACCGCCGGTCGCACCCCCGCCGCCTCCACCGCCGCCAGCAGTCGCGGCATCCGTCTTAGACGCCGCAGCTGACGGCGTCCCGAAGTGCCCGACAGCATCCGCCTCTCCTCCGCGCACGCCGCCCTCGGACCGTACATCGCCCGCGCCTCCGCCGCCCGCCGTCGCCGCCTCATCAGGCGGCAACGACACGCCGCCGCCGCCAACGTCGCCGTGCGAGGACGTTGTCGTACTTTCGTCGCCTCCGCCAGCCGTCGGGGCTGGTGCCGCGGGTGTCGCCGTCTGGTCCGTGGATTCGGCGGCTCCGGCGGGTGCTACGTCCAGAGCGGAGGGAGATACCTGCAGCCACCCCGTCACAGTTGCAGTCAGTTGCAGCTTCCATGTCAGCCGTTTCTTCATGTCATGTCATGTCTTGTCCACTAGCCCTCTCACAGAACCAACTAGTCTACTAAAGTCACCCTGCTCGTGCCATGTTCGTACCTCTCCTCCAATAACCTTCCGTACAGTCTCCATGAAGTTCGTTAGGTCGTCCAACCGCCGGTATCCCTCGTCAAACAGCGTGTCCAGGGAGGCCATGTGAGCGGACAGCGCGGCGCGAGCGGCCTCCAGCTCAGCCGGGGGCACACCGCGGGCCTCCGCCGCCCGCAGAGCTGCGAAGGCGGCTTGGATGTCCTGAGGTCCGCGGAAGAGGTGCGAGGAGGCAGCGGAGGAGGTGCGGTGGGGTGCACGAGCGTCAGCCAATCATGGTGTTTAGTCTTGTGTACTGACGGTATCAAGGCATCCTTATCATCGTGCTTCGTTAGTGGGATGCAGAAAAAGGATACAGTAAACAGGTGTGTCTGTATGCGCGCAGTTTGCTCCCAAGGCATCCCCAGCACCTGCCGCGCACATACGCCAACCACATCCCCCACACACCCACACATCCTCGCACATGCGCACATGCATGCGCACCTCCAGCTTGCGTATGTCCGCCTGTATGTTCTCCCGCAGTCCCCGCCGCCCCGGTAGCGCCTGCTCCAACTTCTCAGCCAACAACTCCGCCGTCACGGCCTCGCTGCCGCCGCCGCCGCTAGCATCGGCCGCCGCCGCCGCCGCTGCCTCAGATGGGGCGGCGGTGGCGGCGCCGCCGCCGCCAGTGGCGCGAAGGACGGCCTCAAGGGCGCTACCCTCCAGCGGGGACGACGACGACGACTCTTCCATAGCCGCCGCCGCCGCCGGCTCAGCGGCAGGGGCCGCCTGAGCCTCCTCCCCTGCGCCTTCGGCAGCCACCGCCGCCGGCGGCGGCGGCCGCCGGGATTCAAACCGCTCGACAAAGACGCGTGTGGCGGCGCCGCCAGGTCCCTCCGCCGCCACCGCCGCCGCCAGCTCCTCCTGCGTCGCGTGGGCTGCCCAGTCGTCTCCCGCGTCGTCGTCGCCGCCGCCGCCGCCGCCGTGCTTGCCGCCGTTGGCGCCGTTGCTGGCGGCTGCTGCCTTGTCAACCGGCACGTTGAGGTCGTGGATGAACTCCAGGGAGTCCATTCCGGTCTTCTTTTGGAATTGTTGGATACGACGGTGCCTCTCCTCCTCATCGCTCACCTCCGAAGAAGACCCCGACCCCGAACCGGGAGAACCGGGAGAACCTGTCGCCGTCGGGCCACCAGCGGCCGCATGCAGATCCGCATCAGATCCGGATCCAGCTCCGGCTCCGGAACCCGCGAGTGGATCCTCATGCAAGATGCCCTGTACGGCTGGATCTGCGGAACGAGACAGACCCCAGGCCTGCAACTGCCGCTGCGCTTCGGAACCCACGGAGCCCCCAGCGGCGGCGCCAGTTGCACCTGTACCTGCGCCTGCGCCTGAGGGTGCTGGGGTCGGCTGTGAGGGCGGCTGAGGCGACCATGCTTCCATGGGACTTGCGGGGTGATGTGGCATGTGAGGGGGGGAAGAAGAAGACGGTAACGGCTCTGAAGCCGCGCCGCTTACGGCAAGCCCCTCGGCAACGGCGGTATCGGCGGCGGCCTCCAGAGCGGCCGCGAGGTTGGCGGCGGTGACGGCGGCGGCTGCGGAATTGTCGAGGG